TTTTTGTACTTCTTTTCACAGAAGACTATGGATTATATTGATAATGAATATCCCCAACAACGTAATTGACTACCTAATATATTTGAATACTGACTTAATTGACTACCTAATATATTTGAATACTGACTTAATTGACTACCTAATATATTTGAATACTGACTTAATTGACTACCTAATGTATTGATTTGAATACTGACTTAATTGACTACCTAATATATTTGAATACTGACTTAATTGACTACCTAATGTATTTGAATACTGACTTAATTGACTACATAATGTATTTGAATACTGACTTAATTGACTACCTAATATATTTGAATACTGACTTAATTGACTACCTAATGTATTTGAATACTGACTTAATTGACTACCTAATGTATTTGAATACTGACTTAATTGACTATCTAATGTATTTGAATACTGACTTAATTGACTATCTAAGGTACATCGACTTCACTTACAATGTATATCTCACTGACCATTGACTACCTAATATATATTTTCACTGACTTTTGTTTATCTTCATTGACTATTGACAGACCTTCACCTTGTATATTGTCACTGATCACTTTGCATATTTCAACCGACTGTTGACTACCTTCTATATTTCCACTAATCTATTTGCATATTTCACTGACTATTGACTTTCTTATATATTTCCACTAATCACTTTACATACTTCACTGACTACTGACCACTTAATATATATTTCCACTAATCACTTTGCATATTTCACTGACTATTGACTTTCTTATATATTTCCACTAATCACTTTGCATACTTCACTGACTACTGACTACCTTTCTTATATATTTCCACTAATCACTTTGCATACTTCACTGACTATACTGACTACCTTAATTATATATTTTCATTGATTACATTGCATATTTCACTGACTATTGACTACCTTGTATATTTTCAGATGGTCTGGCAAAGATTAAGGAGACTATTCGTAAACAGCAGAGCAAGACTTCCAGTCAGACAAGAGGTCAGTATGAATCCCTTTGAAAATAATTAGTCTAAAAAAGTTTAACTTTTAACAGTCTGATTTTCTTGAATGGACTAAATTGTCAGATTCTCTTTTTTTTAGGGACTATCCATTATAGCCAATGATTTTTCACTATTTTTTGGAAAATTGTAAAAAAGGTATAAAAAAACCCAAAAACAATGTTTTTAAGAAATTATAGTTATAGGCTTCATGGGCCTTTGATAACAGATATTGTTAAATAGTATCTGGAGAAGACCGTCAATGTTAATTATGTTAGGTGTGGAAATCAAAATTGATGTTTTTTGAAAAGTTAAGTTGCGAGCGGCCTGCCCCCATCATTTTAACAAAAAAAATGGCCAGATTTACCGAAATGATGACAAACGCGTTTTATAATAATATCACTAACCTCTTATTTTCAACATCAAATATTTGATTTCTTTTATGTATTGTAATGTATACATTTATATTTTAACACACCATTGTTAATAGTTACTTTGATATGAAATAAAATACAATGGTCAAAATGGTATTTGACTTGGAACCTGTTATGATATAATGTGCTCCAAAGACTTTGATTGAAGCTCTTTATTCTGGTTCTCTATTGATATTAGAAGCGTAGTTATTAGAGCTGTCATCGATAGAGATGATATTGATGCAGTCATCAAATTTAGCACTGGCCCGGTGGCCAGTGAAAATTTTAAGAAAATTTGTTTAAATAATATAGTAGAATTAATTCAAAAAGTAAATTCAAAAGCTTTAAATTCATTTACTGTTGATGTGTGATTAAAATTTTTTCTTTTCCGTTTCAATAAGGGGTTTAAAATTTTGGGGGAAAAAAAAAATCGAAAAATTTTCATGTAATTAAATTTAAAAATGTTTTTAAATGTTTTAAAAATAACTTTATATATCCCTATTTATACCTTTTTATATTAATATGGGTTAAGGGCTTCCTTCCCAGTGAAGTTTGGAACGTCACATTATGACAAAAATTTTAATCTGTGGTTTTGGGGGACGAAAAACCCCAGTCAAAAAAAACAGACTATAATATACGTTTTGTTAAAATTTTTAATTTTTACTTCACTTTTTTAAAAAAAGGGAAAAATTTAAATTTTCTTGCCCAAAAATTTATTTTTTTTTAAAGGGAAATTAAAAAGTAAAGTTAAAAAAGCGCCCCTCCCCCCCTGAAAAAAAAAATTTTTTTTAAAAAAAATTTTTTGTCTTGACTGGAAATATTTTTCTGAGAATCGTAAACCAACTCGTGTGCAAACTTTTAGATCATTCCCTCGCCATGTTTTTCCAGCATATACATTTTTATTGTGCAAAATGACCCAAAAATGAAAAGCATTGCAACATTTCACTCAAATCTAGTCAAGATTCAGAAAAAAAAAAATTGATTTTCAATTTTATTCTTGGTATATATTTCTTCATTGTGCTTTTCAGAGTTTTCCGTTAAGTGCTTCACTTGAAATGTAAAAATTTCAGGATTTATATTTTTTAGGCTTTTTTTTTTTACCTCAGTAGAGCTCCTTTAAGTTGTAAAATCTTTTACAATTAATGGTTTTAAAGGTAACTGGCCTTTGTAATGGGCATATTAATGTTCTACATATTCAAATTTTGACAGAAAATATTTTAAATCACTAAGGTCTCAAATAATGCTTATTAGTCATTAAGATATGTTAATGTCATGGCCATGTCAAATCCTCTTTCTTTTTTAACTTTGCCCTATTTTTTTTTTTCTAAGCCATTCACACACTTAGAGAATGTTTACAGTTTAAGAGTGAAATGAACTTGAATTTCTCTTACAGTCATTATGCTTTCATAATGTAGTTGTACTTTTGATTTTGTTTGGACATTTGGGGTTTTATTAACCATTTCAGATATGGCTTATCTTGCAATAGAACACTTGAAACTTTTCATATTCTGTTGACATACCTTTATATCGTGTATAATCTCCATCGTTCATCAGTTTTGTTGCTGATTTACATACTTTAGCTTCGCGCTGATGGCGTCTTTAGAAACAATTAAATTTGGTGTGAAAATCACTGTCATTTGTGTGAAGAGGTTGTTTAGATATTTTCAATAGACGAAACAGGGCTTGAAGAGTTTAATTGAAAAACTTGGTGATCGTACAGTTAAACTTTTTATTTCTCTCAATATATTCCCCAGCACGATGAGTAATACTGAAGCATATTTAAAAAAAAACAAGTTTTCACACTCAACAAATATCGCAAAGTTTTGGCTAAAGAATTTACGTGGGTGGTAGCATTCGCAGTACAGTAGAATCCCTACTTAAGACCACCCCGGAATTAAGACCACCCCGCTATTAAGACCATTTTTTAAAAGAACAGAATTTTCTGTTCTTTATATCAATGGTTACATGATCCAGAATTAAGACCACCCCGCTTATCCACTTTTAAGACCACCAGATTCAGCCCCAATTCATTGTTTTATTCTTTATTTGACCCCTCTATTGAGACCACTGATATTAAAGTCAACACCTATCTTATCATAAATTTTGTTATGATATGCTTGAATGCTCTTAAGCTTGACACTTGATTTCACAAGGTGTCAACAACTGTTGTTATTTGGGTTATTGTATGAAAAAAAGGTGAGAAAGTAAATTTTAGAGTGGTTTAATGTTGCTTTCAGCACATTTATTTTGTGAAGAATTAATTTCTTATTTGACAGGTGAATTATATTTATCATTTAATAACTAATATTCAAATCAGACCAAATAGAATTTAATGTTAAATTTCTCAGAAATATATTTAGATCAGATTATATATTATAACATACTTTTATATTGTTAATATACATATTGTTTGTTCATATAACATGACTAAAATAGACCATGGTCATAAAGTATGTAAGCAATAAGAATATTCACAATTAAGACCACCCCGCAATTAAGACCACTTTGGACCAGTCCCGATGGTGGTCTTAATTGAGGGTTTTTACTGTATTTGAAGAGCAGATTTAACTGTTATATTAAAACTATTTTTTGAAACTTTGTTATTCTGTTAATGTAGGTAAACCTTTTCAACACACTGTTTTTGAATATGGAGCTTAAAAGGAAGTCAATTAAGTTTTAAAGTATCACTGGTAGTGTATCATAACCTGGCTGGAATAGCTCGGACTGTCAAATGTTAATGTCACTACCATATGAGAACTGCTACTAAGATGATAATGTCCCCCACTCAATTCCCCCACACTGCCAGTTAGACATTACATTAATCCCTGCCATTTGGGCTTTTTTTCCCCACTCTCCCCCACAATCTTTGTGGTGCTTAAGAAACTTAAATGCTTTCTTCACACTGCTTTCTATTCACAATTCAAGCTAGTGGATGATTGAAAAAGTTTCAAAGGCAAATAAATGATGTTGATTTACATTTACGATTTACTGATTGAAAACTGGCTAATGTGTTCCTTCCTGCACAATATTAATGTAATAAATAAGGACTGTACTGAAGGAGATTAATATGTGTAGTCATAAAGGTGCCATCTCAACCTTGACCCTTTTGAAAATTATAACTCTTCGATTAGAAATTTACAGCGTAACAGTTAAAAATGGTGACATTTCATTCCTTAAGTAGCTCAGTATCTTTGAAGTGATTGAAGTTATATGACAGTTAAATGATTTTATTTTTTCCCCTTCTGTTATGAATTGGAAATGTATAAAGAAGGATTAAATAATTTTTTTTTTTTTTACAACAACATTTTAAATGTCAGTACCTGCATGATGTGACTGACTGAAAAACAACACCCCCCCCAGATTTGTAAGGTTTGTTGTTGCCCTATTGGTTTAAAGGTGCCTGCCTCCCAACTTGGGGATCATGGGTTAAAGGTGCCTGCCTCCCAACCCAGGGATGATGGTTTAAAGACTGCCAGCCTCCCAACCCGGGGATTATGGTTTAAAGACTGCCTGCCTTCCAACCTGGGGATCATGATTTAAAGACTGCCTGCCTCCAAACCTGGGAATCAATTGGTTTAAAGGTGCCTGCCTCCCAACTTGGGGATCATGGTTTAAAGGTGCCTGCCTCCCAACCTAGGGATCATGATTTAAAGACTGCCTGCCTCCCAACCTAGGGATCATGATTTAAAGAATGCCTGCCGTCCCAACCCGGGATCATGGTTTAAAGACTGCCTGCCTCCCAACCTGGGTATCATGATTTAAAGACTGCCTGCCTTCCAACCTAGGGATTATGATTTAAAGACTGCCTGCCTCCCAACCTAGGAATTATGATTTAAAGACTGCCTGCCTCCCAACCCGGGATCATGGTTTAAAGGCTGCCTGCCTCCCAACCTAGGGATCATGAATTAAAGACTGCCTGTCTCCCAACCTAGGAATCATGGTTTAAAGGTGCCTGCCTCCCAACCTGGGGATCATGGTTTAAAGGTGCCTGCCTCCCAACCTAGGGATCATGATCATAGACTGCCTGCCACCCAACCTAGGGATCATGATTTAAAGACTGTCCCCAACCTGGGAATCATGAATTATAAAGACTGCCTGCCTCCCAACCTAGGAATCATGGTTTAAAGGTGCCTGCCTCCCAACCTTGGGATCATGATTTAAAGACTGCCTGCCTCCCATGGGGGATCATGATTTAAAGACTGCCTGCCTCCCAAACTGGGGGATCATGGTTTAAAGGTGCCGCTTCCCAACCGGGGGATCATGGTTTAAAAATGCCTGCCTCCCAATCTGGGGATCATGATTTAAAGACTACCTGCCACCCAACCTGGGGATCATGGTTTAAAGGTGCCAGCCTGCCTCCCAACCTGGGGATCATGATTTAAAGACAGCCCTCTCCCAACCTAGGGATCATGATGTAAAGACTGCCTGCCTCCCAACCTGGGGATCATGGTTTAAAGGTGCCTGCCTTCCAACCTGGGGATCATGGTTTAAAGGTGCCTGTCTCCCAACCTGGGGATCATGGTTTGAATTTCAAACTGGTTTTGGTGAATTTTTGCTAATGTCCGATTGACCATGCTAGTATTTCGACCGGGTTTTGGTGAATTTTATTCCAAGTATCTGTAAAGGATATATTTAACGATGGCTCAAACCTTTTTCAAAAAAAACTTGGCTGATGTGAAGATGGTCCATTCTCGGCAGATCTTTGTAACCTTGAAATGGAAAATAATTTCAATCATTATAGAAGGTGTCTGGGACAGCAGTAACTGTATCTTCTCAGTATTCAATCTGAAAAAAAACCCAACAACTCATAAACAACAACAACAACAACAACAACAAAAAAAACCCTAAAAACCACCAAGAATGACACAGAAATGTTTATTAATTAAATTGAAATTTGGAGCATTCAGTTTTTTTTTAGCTCATTACACACATTAGTTTTGCTATGTGCTTCCAGACACCAGGTGAAAATTGATACATACATTATATTTGTGGTGAAAAAAAAACAACTAATTAGATCATGTTAATAGTTTGTTCAACTCTTTGTTGTGAAATGAGTCAATTAATGAAACTTAATTCTTTATGAAAACATAATAAACACAAAAAAGCTGTCATCTTTATGTTTGGAAATTACTTAGGTCCTTTATTTGCTTTGGTCAAGAGCTGTGTTGGGGTCTTTAATGTATTTTGAATACAGTTTTGATGTTCAAAACTCTTTCTTACCAGGGTTGAAATTACTGCCTCAAATTCAAAAACAAACCGTCTTAGAAATATTTTGATGTCAACCCCATTTTAAAGGGATATGTTGTCGAATGAACGAAATTTAGAAGCTGACAGAATCACAAAGTAGTTTTAAAACAAGTTTTGTGACTTGAACATACCCTTGAAGTTACATTATATATTTTAACAGATACTGCGGATATTGTATGATTAAAACAAGCCTAAGTCATTCATTTGACATGTTCTTAAACGTTTCCAGAGCTCACTGTGATAACTATTGCGAAATTTTAACACTCTAACCAACGTGGGTCAGGTTAGAAAACCATCATTTAATACTTTATAATGAGAAAAGTTTTGTTCGTGTGACTGCCTAGGGCCACTCTTAAAAAATTATCTGTTTGCTATTGCCGGCCGACCCAGCGAAAATGCCCCGACTCAAAAGTTTTTTTCAGCTTAAAAAAATCAGATTTTTTTTTATTTCCGCCAAATCAGCCAGGGCATTCGACCTAAAAAATTCTCTCGAAAACAAAAATAAAATCGGAGGAAAATCACACATTTAATATGTAAAGTAAAGGGCATTCTGTGCGTTACTATTTAAAGTATTTACATAAATAGCGACCAACCAGGGAAGGATATTTTCCTAACGTCATGCAGTACTGCATGCGCGCGGCAATTAAGTTGAATTAACTTATAATAGAACATATCAAATTAAGGTGTGGAAACGGGATTAAAAATAATGTTTGTAATAGAAAGAGCACCAAAACACGAGGCCATCTGATTTGTACGAGGGGGCGTAGGCCCCGAGTATTAATCAGATTGCCGAGTGTTTTGGTGTTCTTTCTCTTTTGTATCATAGTCAAACATAAAAGCACGTTCCCTGTTGTCAAAATATGAAACCCCGGCAAAAATGAACCAAATTGAACAAACATCTGAATATGACATTTCTGTCGCTTTCCCTTTCTCTGCCGTCACAACATGTAAACCCCAGCAAAAATGAGCCAATCAATAGGCATGCTCTGGAGTGCGGGTAACTTAAATACCCGCACTCCAGTTAACGCACTGTGCATGTATATGCATACGATTTAACCCTGACACATTTTCAACAGAAAGGTCTCCAAACTATGATACAAATGATTTTTACTGAACGTAAGTTAATACGCTTAGTACGTTGTAGCAGATTGTGGAAATTTGGACTACACTATCATTTAGTAGTTCATTAAAATGAAACATGTTAAAGGTAGTTCTTATGGAACAACCTAAATTCTCTTTGAAAAGAAACAGAGCTTCTGTTTCCTAGTCATTGGTAAAGGTTAAGTTTTATTTAAGATACACATATTAGAATTTTACCTTAATTCATGTTCAGATATTTGTTGTGCTAAATTACTGTATTATATTAACAGAGAACAATGAAGATCTGATAGGTGCCGCTGGAGGGGATCTCGCCGACTCTGTCGCCCCCTCACATCGTCTCCTTCATGATGCCAGCGAACCCATCATGCCTCGTTCACAAGATCTTATAGAAGGTTCGGAAAAGACGGCAAAAGTTCGTAAAATAGCTGCAGGTCCAGCTGCTCCCTCTTACAAAGGTAAAGGTCATGACCTTATTATTTTGACCTTCGTAATGGTCAAGGTTGTGAAAACCTACTTTCTATTAAAACAGAGAATTATTTTTTCCTACATAGTCTTTCCATTTAAATTGTGAAGGCTTTTCAATTTAGAGATTATCACATGAATATTCAAATGAAAATGGGCAACAATTTGAAACAAATTTATATGTAACCATAGTGTCTTTATAAATATTAATGACCAGCTGACCTGGTTATATAACACTGACACCTGTCGGTCATATAACCAACCGTATTCAGAAAGTAAATTGTCGTTTCAAATGTTTTCAGGATTTAGCGAAACAGAAGTGAAGTACAGAATTGTGGAAAATAAAGGGTCAAAAGGTCAAGATGGTGGACGCAAGGAAAAGAAACGACAAGTCAGCATTAAAGTACAAGACCGGAGATATGAAGCTGTCGGAAGTAAGAAAGATTACAATATAAAACTTAGATGACCCTGGACCTGCTCAGTGCTGATTTGTTTGTTAATGAGCTTGTCTTTCTTTGAATGCAGAGCTGTCCGGATTTCTATATAAAAATGAATACATAAATTTAGCTACCAACAGGACAGAGCTTAATCAGACTCCTAGGATATGTAGGGTTGACCTGGCTCTATACTCATGGCAAAGGTTAATCACTTCAGGTTCCATTAGGTTATGGGTTAATTTGTGTGTAATAGAAGATTTCTAATAAGGATTCATATTATATAAGAAAATATTTTGACTGTTCTACAAAAGTTTTGTAAAATGAGGCAAATTATATAAGAAAATATTTTGACTGTTCTACAAAAGTTTTGTAAAATGAGGCAAATTTAGTAAGTCATGCTTTCATCTCACACTTCATAAAATAAATATATTTGAACTTTATACTGGCAAGTTACATATCAGTAGTTCTCTGCCAGGGGACCCAGCTGATGCCTTAAATATTGCGTAATATTATTCTGGAATGTTTTTTTTTACTGTGACAATTGATAACAGGCTCATCAGATCTAGACAAAATTGTTAATGTGACTTAAAACTTCTGAGGAAATAACGTCATGTAACATTGGTTCACATTGGACAGTTGTTACATATACCTGAATTACATCTCTATTTACCTTTTCTGGAAAAATGGTCTCATTAACAATAATAAATGAAAAGTAGGTCTGATATAACAACATTGTTTAATTAATAATGGGTTATATTTTATGTACAGGAACTACTTCACTTTTTATAAAATAATGGATAATTTCTGTACCCCATATCAGGCCTCATAACTAAGGGTTATTCTATGTTTAGAACATAATGGAATTTCCATAATTTGTGTGATGATCCTAATATTGATGTGTAGCATTCAATTTTTTCAGTGAGTAAACATAAAAAATAATTTGTAAGAACTACGATTTTTGTACGGAAACTTCTCGCATGCCAGTAAGCTTTACATCAAGCATATAGCCTGTCAAAAACTTTATATATGATAAATAATTATACATACATGTAATTGTTGCACATTTATGATTTGATTTGAATTTGTCATGAATATAAAAACAAGAACAACTTGGCAATATTATAGGGTAATATGATAGAAATCTAACTGGTGACATAAGCATTTCTATGAGATTGAAACACCTTGTTTGTTTATCTGATTAAAACTCAGCAAATTCGTTTATGCCACTGATCTTGACATTAATATAGAAATCTCATTATGTGCTGTGTTGTTTTGTCAGATTGGTTGAGTGTTGAAGATGAAGGAAAATCGAAGAAACTGACAAGAGTTATAGCCCCTAGTAGAAAACCTGTCAAGCAGCAACCACAGCCCAAAAACAAAGGTAAATTGAGATTGACTATTGATAATTGTCTGGCAAAGTTACTAAGGGGGAGGGGGGTGTTGGTTGGTGGTCATATATTTACTGCATCATTTCTTAAAAGAAAAAAAAAGAAGGTATTGTCACCTTAGTGCAGTAATGGGTTAATGCCTATTAAGTTATATAAGGAGTTTACCTGTACCTGCCATTAGGTGACAATATAATTATGTTGTGTGTGTGTAATCATAGTCGGCAGTCCTTGCTATTCAGTCACTTCATATATTTAACATTTCCCTAAAATAATGGCCCATTTATGGCTCACACAATATATGTTGTGTGTGTGTAATCATAGTCGGCAGTCCTTGCTATTCAGTCACTTCATATATTTAACATTTCCCTAAAATAATGGCCCATTTATGGCTCACACAATATATGTTGTGTGTGTGTAATCATAGTCGGCAGTGCTCGCTATTCAGTCACTTCATATATTTAACATTTCCCTAAAATAATGGCCCATTTATGGCTCACACAATATATGTTGTGTGTGTGTAATCATAGTCGGCAGTCCTTGCTATTCAGTCACTTCATATTTTTAACATTTCCCTAAAATAATGACCCATTTAAGATATATAGCTAGGTAAGAGTGTAATATTTTCTTTGTACTTTTAATGATACATTTTTCTACGTGTTCAGCTTTTATTTTTCAACAATATACTCAGTTGTAAGATTGTAATCACTAGTAATTACCGTATTATTTCATGCAAAGAATATGAAAATTGTGCGACACGACATCAATAATGTAATGGAACCTCGTCATGCTTCATTTTGCCGATCTCAGAAAATTCCCATAGCTTGCTTCATTATAGTTATTGATGAAAATCTTCACTAATTAATCGTGTGCAGAATTCATTGACTTCCAGATTTCACGCTCGTACAAGATATTGACAGATAGTATTGAAAACCGTGACCTTGAACAATATGGGGCAAAAAGATTAATTGATCGCTATGCTTATTTGTGTGCATGTGTGAGTTTTCTAAAATAGCTGATTTCTTTGGAGTGATTATTTTAATTCATGGGAGACAACTACCATTTCCTCTCATTAATTTGTCATATGATAACATCTCCCAAAAACAACTTTACTTTCTGTTGACTTGTTAAACTATCCCATATGTATGCTGTTTAAAGGGTCTGTTCAAATTCATATGTTTTTTGCTCACCAGAGCCGGAGGCTCAGGGTGAGGGGGATGCTCCTGCGTCCGCCGTCCGTCATCATGCGTCAACAATCATCTTCTTCTCTGAAACTACTCAGCAGATTTACTTCAAATATGGTCTGTAGCATCCTTGTGACAGTCACACTTGAATTTGCTCATGTCATTTTAATTGGCCCCTTTTAGGGGTCAGCAGAGCTAAAAATAGAAAAACCTTTAAATATCTTCTTCTACAGAACTAATGGATGGATGATCACCAAACTTTGTCTGTAGCATTCTTAGGTAGTCTTTTATCAAGTTTGTTCATATAAAAATAGAAAAAACCTTTAAACATCTTCTTCTACAGAACTTCTGGCTGGATGATCACCAATCTTTGTCTGTAGCATTCTTGGGTAGTCTTTTATCAAGTTGCTCATATGAATTTGATTGGCCCCTTTTAGGGGCTGCTAAAGCAAAAAATAGAAAAACCTTTAAACATCTTCTCCTACAGAACTAATTGATGGATGATCACCAAACTTTGTCGGAAGCATTCTCGGGTAGTGTTTTATCAAGTTTGCTTATATTAATTTGATTGGCCCTTTTAGGGGCCGCAAAAGCTTAAAATAGAAATACCTTTAAATGTCTATTTCTAGAGAACTAATTGATGGATGATCACCAAACTTTGTCTGAAGCATTGTTGGGTAGTCTTTTATCAAGTTTGCTCATATTATTTTGATTGGCCCCGTTTAGGGGCTGCTAAAATAAAAAATAGATATACATTTAAACGTCTATTGCTACAAAATTAATGGAAAGATGATCACCAAACTTTGTCTGTAGCATTATTGAGTAGTCTTATATTAAGTTTGCTCATATTAATATGATTAGCCCCTTTTAAGGGCCGCTAAAATTAAAAATAGAAGTAAGTTTAAACATCTTCTCCTACAGAACTAATTAATGGATGATCACCAAACTTTGTCTGTAGCATTCTTGGGTAATCTTTTATCAAGTTTGCTCATATTAATTTGATTGACCCCTTTTAGGGGCCACTATAGCTAAAAATAGAAAAAAACCTTCGAACATCATTTTCTTCTGAAATAATTGATAGATGATCACCAAACTTTGTAGCATTCTTAGGTAGTCTTTTATCAAGTTTGCTTATTTTAATTTGATTAGCCCCTTTTAGGGGCCACTATAGCTAAAAATAGAAAAAAAACCTTCGAACATCATTTTCTTCTGAAATAATTGATAGATGATCACCAAACTTTGTAGCATTCTTAGGTAGTCTTTTATCAAGTTTGCTCATATTAATTTGATAAGCCCCATTTAAGCTAAAGCTTAAATACATCAGGTCATGCATTTCTTCAAATTATTGTTTAAACATATTCTATGCTCAAATTTAATATAAGAATATATTGACATTCCAACACTGAAAAGCCGTTGTTCCTGGTGAGCGACTCAGGGCCATCATGGCTCTCTTGTTAAATCTTACCATAGCAACGAAGGGACATCTCACAATTGCCAAAAATCACTATTTTGCATTGTTGTTTTTCCATCAAAACTGATTTCAAAGTGCTGCAACTTCTCAATGGATTGAGATAGTCAAAGGCTTTTCAGTGTTGGTTACACGTTACCTTAAGGTCGACCTGTTATTTTTAGCCTCTCACAAGACCAAATTTCTTTGAAGATGAGGGGGTTTGCTGACCCCCCTTCAAACCCCCTAGCAGAAGGGGGACATCCCCACTCTGGCACTATTTTGATAGGGGATGGCACAAAAAAAGTGATCACTTTTTTTAAAACCATTCTTAGATGAAAACAAGTGTTTGGGATCTGAAATAGGGCATTTTTTTCATTATTTGCGGCCTCAAAGGATGAGGGGGGGGGGGCAGTGTGAAAAAACATTTATATGAAGTAATAGGTAAAACATATGTTGATGATAACCAATGAAACATAAAAACTTGGAGCTTTTCTAAAACTTTCCCTGGCACTCCATTAAGTTGAGGCTATCACACAATAACTGACCTGTTCCAGGAATTTATTATTATTACACGAGTCAAGATCAGATATTACATGAACTTTACAAAGTATGAACAGATACCTGTGCACTGAATATTTCAATATAGTACTTGAGTGGTAGTTTTGATATTTGGATGAATCGTGATACATGTAAGTACGTTGTTTTGTTTCAGAAATAATTACTACTTCATCCTGGAGAGTGGGTCAAGAATTGATTTTGAGGGAACTTGGTCCAATGAAAAAGAAGCCATCAAGAAACAAGGAAAATACTGGTAAATGATTTGATACATGTTTTACAATAATTTTACAACCGCAGGAGTTAATGTAATATAATCCCCGTTAGTATGCCTGATAAAACACTGGGCTTCCCTCTGCACCTATATTTGTAATGTGAACTACCTTCATTAAGATTGCTGTTATAAAAGGGTTTTACTGTACACTCATATTTGTAATGTTATTTCTCCCTACGGATTGCTGTTATAAAGAGGGTTTTACTGTACACCCATATTTGTAATGTTATTTCTCCCTACGGATTGCTGTTTTAAAGAGGGTTATACTGTTCACCCATACTTGTAAACTTTATTTACATGATGATTGGGGACGCCTGTGGCCGAGTGGTTAAGACGTTGACTTCAAACCACTTGCCCCTCACCGCTGTGGGTTCGAATCCTGATAAGGACTTTGGATTCTTTCATGTGAGGAAGCTATGCAGATAGCTTACGGAACGTCAGTGGTTCTACTCAGGTGCCTGAAATAATGCATGTAAGTGCACCTGAGGTCTTCCTCCACCAGTAAAGCTGGAACGTCGCCATATGACCTATACTGTGTCGGTGTGACTAAAACCCAATCAAACAAACAAGCATGATTGCTGTTTTCAACAGGGTTTCAGTGTACACCTATATTTGTACTTTCTGTACACCCATAATTATTTGTAATATAAACTTCATCTCTGAAAAGATTGCTGTTTTAAACAGGGTTTTACTGTACACCTATACTGTAATGTAAACTTAAATATCTCTCAAAGGATTGTTGTTATAAGCAGGATTTCCCTATTCACCCATTTGGATAAATGATATATATAATCAGGGATTCACTGTACAACACTCATATTTTATCTTCTGTAGAATATCTCATTTAAAACAGGTTTACACTTACGATATGAATAGGGTTACACTGTACTCATAATCTTCATTCTCTTTACTATGCCTGATTTAAATTGAGGTTTCACTGTTCCCCCATATTTGTAATGTAACCTTCATTAATATTGCTGTAAATAAGAGTTTCACTGAACACCTTCTTGTTTAATGTGAACTTAAATATTTGAGTTTACCTTGCAAGTAGTTGACCTGTAGCCTGTAGAATAAAAACATTTCATTACACTATTAAGCTACCTATATAAAAACATAACTAATGAACTGGAAATTGGATTAATTGAGGGGAAATGCGGGCATATAATAACTAGTTGTGTTGAGCAATAAAGGCCACTGATTATAGAGTAACTCTGTTTATAGTGTAAGGTCTAGCAGATTTATGGTATTAGTTATGTAGATTAGTAAGAGTTAATTGACTCTCTGTGTCCAGTCATGAATCTTTACATGTATACTGGACAGTAAGTCTTAAAGTGTAGCTTTAACCTTTAAAAGTATATCCATAACACTTTTAGTTTTTGCCTAATTTGTATAGTGGACTTGCCCTGTTTAGAATATGGAATAATCCATTAGAAGTTGAAATTTTAGTATCTAGATAATGAAAGAACTATTGATCACCCAGTCTTCATGAATATTATGCACCAGATATGTTTTTGATGGGTAAGTTTTGTAAAAGGCCCATTATGCCTGAGAAACAAATATTTTTTCTGTCTTTATAAAGGTAAATATGAAGTTTATAACCTTTGATAATGGGTATAGAGCATTTTAGATAATTATAATCTGGAGAAAGTAGAGCTGAAGCATGAATATGAAAAAATCTGACATGTGGTCATGTTCTTAGTTCTAAAATTAAAAAGCATGAATGATACAGGATCTTTTTGTGTCTTTATTTCAAGTATTCTCATAGGTTATACTGTATACATTTCACTTGTCTATAAGCTTACATATGTTTACTTCCATGATAGTGAACCTGTTTTTTAAAATCAAACAAAAAAGCAACAAACAATCGAAGTTATCGAATTTTTTGTTTGTCATTGAAAATCATGTACAGGTGTACCTATTATCAGGGTTATGGGAAAAATGTGGTGTCATTGATATTAATCATGGTTTTCTTGTTATAATAAATCAGAAAAATCAAGGTCATCTAATGTTAAGGTTGTTTGATGGATTGTTTGATTTGTAATAGTGGAAAGGAGAAATGTACATATTTGCTGATAATTATTTTCCAAGTGGAATTTACTCCTAAGGCTTTATATATAATATATATATTATTCCATATATCATGATTTTTTTCTAGGACTTTAATAAACTTTTTTTTTTTGAAACTGTGTCTACAATGTCAACAATTATACTGTTAAGTTTTATCTAAGTATAATTTTATGAGCTATCAGGCTTCGTCAAATATTCTTGCCTGCTAGCATTTGCGAGTAAAGTTTGGGTCGGGCAAGTAAAAAAAATTGATCAAACTCGCCCAATAGGGCGGGTCAGATTCTCCAGATCCAAATGATGTTTCTATAAAGGTAAAAAAGTCAAACAGCAGAAGACATTTCAATCATAATACTGTCAGCCAGAAACTGAACTTATGACTAAGTATAAAACTTTACCAAACAAGTATGATGAATCGATTCCATAACAACAGCAGCATTCGACAATATTTTATACATTACGCATTCGGTAATGTTTTAATTAGCCATGAGGTCGATATGTTAAAATTTGAATGAAAGAAGTATTCAGGCTATGTTGAAGATTATATAATAAAAGAATAAAAAGTATTATAAACATAATTGAACAATATATGATTTAATAAAGGCAATTGTACTAATATAGACCAGTAATTAGTAATTTGAGTTTTGTCTTTGATTTTTACAATTTTTTTCCGTCAAAATGCAGGGCGAGTGCATTTTATGAACCCTGCATTTTATGAAGGGCGAGTGAATTTGGAGGGTCACTCGCCCACAGGGCCCTAAAAAATTCATTGAGGCCTGGGTAATTAGTGAGGAGTTTTAATATATTGTAAGATTTCATTAAAACTTTATTGTGGTTATTGAGTTAGTTCTTTAGCCTTTTTAACCATCCATGATTCCCTTAAGGATTTGAATTATATTTTAATTTGTACATTAAAGTCCTAAAGATGATTGTCCGGTGCTTAAAGTGCTGGATTATTAAATGAATTGATAAATACTGTCTTATCGTCTATTGTAGGGTAGCATTGTCATACCTGAAAAGCTGTTGTCACCTATATTTGACAGTTTTCATATATTTATTTTTATTAAAATTTTGTCTTTGAGTTTGATTTCTATTGTGGCAGCATTTTTTGACAAACACCAAAAAAGGCAAATTTTCAATCTAATGGTCTCGCAGCTGATTCAGAAATCATGTTGGATAAGTTATGTGAGTCAGTCACTTCCAGAGAAATTTGAAATTACTTGTTAGTTTATACAGGGAAGCTTGTTAGATGGACAGACTGACGAGATTATATTGACAAAATGTGTTAAGATTAAAACCAAGACACACTGAGAATAAATTAGAGCATTGACTTCTTACAGATCTTTGGATTTAGTAAAAAAAACATTTTTGTTATGGTTGTATGATTTTACGTCACACCAACACAGTAGAGGTCAGGTGGCCCTCTGTGTGAATTATTACAGGTACAATCGCTTAGGAGTAGAACAAGTCCAATGTTCCGCTAGATAGTTAAAAAATATTCGATATAGCGATGTGTCATGGAAATTTGCCATCCTTAGTATAATATTGATATATCACCAATATGTATTGTACTGAATCAATGGCATTGTGTGTATTAAGTCAGCTGTTGTTAACTCAAACTCATTAAAAAAAGCAACAACAATATTCATTTGACAAAAAACAAATATATACATCGAAAGTAACCATCTGAGGGTAATATTAAATAAAATTATTAATTTCAATTATGTTATTTCAGAATTTTATCGAAATGATGCTAGCAGCCCAACAGAGGAGAGGCCAGAAACTCAGGGCGGGGAGGAACACCTCCGGGGTGCTGTTAATAGTGCCACAGCTGCAGAGATTCAAACCCATAAGGCTCTGTCAGAGGAAGCTCGTAGAGTTTACAGTGACCTTCATATAGATGATGAAGAAATTCGTAAACAGTCAAGAGAAAGAGAGAAAAGATGGAAAGCTCCAAAACGGAAGGCCCCAAAACCTACAGGTATTATGTCTGTCTTAGAAAGGCTTTGAGAACGATGTTAAGCAAAGTCAGTATGCCTAGTATTTCTGCATCTATATATGGATGATTCAGTCGTAGCTGAGAAAAATAGGTCATTGTTTAATGGTTTTATTCTGGTGGGGGGGATGAATTATCTTATTTTTAGCTTGAATATTGAATAAGTAGAGCTATCCTAGTCAACCTAGTATACTGCCACTCTATGAAAGTAAATCCTGTATTTATAGAAAAAAACTTGAATATCCTTTATATATTAATTGTTTATCAGAGAGTGAGAATCCCCAGCAGCCAAACCATTTATTCACTACATATGAAATTATTTTTTAATTGTTTATCAGAGAGTGAGAATCCTCAGCAACCATGTGCCAAACAGCGTCATTACGACCAGGAACAAATACGACGATATATGCAACGTCAGAAAGCTGAACGAGTGCGGCAACAGAAGGAGGAGGAAAAACGCATGAGAGAGGAAGAGGAGGCTCGTAAAAGACAGCTTGAAGAACTGTATAACAAGCAAAAACACGCAACACAAGTGTCGGCTGCTGCTGGCAAGAAGGAAAAAAATAGACAGAGACAGAACTTTGAGGTGATGCATGGCATTTCGTTAAATGATCTGCAGAAACAATCATATCATTCAGAAAGGACAAGATTTCTTGTAAGTTTTCACTGGTATTTTGTGATCTGACTTAATCATATGATCTCGCAAAGTGCTCCGATTTTAAGATGGGTTGTTTGTTTGTGGTCTTTCGTTGTCCACAATTTCTTTAAACAACATCTCGACCTAAACCATGTGATGGATTTTCACCAAACTTAAGGTGGTTCTCTACAAATGATGTAAATGTATAAGTGGTTCCTGTCTGTATGTAAAATATACTTTAAAATGGAAGCTTTCAAAAATCTACTTACTGAAACTACAATGCACAGAGCCTAGATACATGTATTTGGTTTGTGGCATCACCTTTTGGTCCTCTATAAAAGTTAAATAAATCATGCCCCGGGGTTAAAGTCAATTAATTTTTATAGACTTGTATTGGAAAAAACATTTAAGTCTCCTTTTGTGAATTTACAAATGACACACCCATTGACCTCATTACTGGTTTAAACCTTTTGTAGCAATGTATCTTAAGTGATAGATCCAGGGGCATCATAGGCTAAGAAACTGGTAATTTGTTAATTGTTATAGTTTTATGTCAATAGAAGATATAAAACAATATATGTTTATGTTTACAGATGAGTTCTGACCCTGAGAATAAAGAAAACCATGACAATGAGGATATGGAGATAAGTGACAGTAGCTCTACTCTAACCGGGGACGGGTCTGATGATAACTCTCCTAATACTTCGCCAAGGAGGTAAAATAATGTTTTTCTAGCTGTTAAAGGCATATGCTAGAGTTACATTAGACATAATATTTGATAACTTGAAAAGGAGGTTGGTGATCCCCATTTTATTTGTGTGATCATGCAAGGTTGAAATAAATTCTATTTTTCACAGCTCCAGATTATGTTAAAAGTCAACATGTTTTTACCGCTCAAAATCTAGAGTGAGGAATGGGAATTCTGAAAAATTTAAGGGGTAAAATTTATAAGAAGCATTATGCATTTTTTAGCTCACCTCAGTAGTTACTAAATACAAATGAAAGCATGAATTATTTGATATATCAAAATCATATAAGAAGGCTTATTCCATATTAGAAGACAACCCCACCACTCCCCCTGTCAAAACATGAGTTTTGATTTTGTTCTTTGACCTTGATTTTTTATTGAAGTGTGAGTAAATATTGACAAGTTAAGAAAAATTAATTTCAATGTCAATGTCTCAAGCACTTTGTAAGTATGTGTAAAATAAAATGATCGTAGAATCAATGTTATGTTAATTTAAAGAATTATAAAAGTGCAATGAAATTTGAAAAACATGCCTGGATCATCCATAGTTTTGGTTTTCTTAACCTATGTGTCTCTGCATGTGAGAATTTATAGAGTTTTATTAGAGTGAAAATAATCTTTCTTTTTACCCCTGCTAGATTTTCTGTAGTTATGTGTATTATTAGAAAATAACTTATTTTCTGTCAAAATAAGGTGCGGTTATGGAGAAGGGGAGGGGATGCGGGGTAGGGGCTCAAAACAAGCTTTATACTTGTCCTTGAAATATTGTGAAGCTCTCAGTGCATAGATGTGCCGGCCGATTTTGGTCTGCACCAGTCGCATTGGTAGAAGCAATTACTGCAAGCAGGGCTAAGGGTTTAATGGGCAACTCTATGTTTAACTCCAGACGTTTCCATTGAATTAATTCAATATGATTACTAAGTTTGTTCAAAGACATTGCTGTACCTGTAATCAACAGATCCATTTTCAGTTTAGAAAAAAGTCCATTGAATTAATTCAATATGATAGTTTGTTAATAGACATTGTTGTAGCTAAGGTCATTCATAAAGTGATACATCTATTAACTGTAAGTCAGTGCCATCTTTCGAAGTTAGGTTTAAAGGTTGGTTTTGAACATTTTGATTGGTTTATTATCAAAATGCAAACGTCAAAGCACCGGTCAATAGGTTAAAACAATTCCTTCTATCAAGGTTCTGTCCTAGACTAATAAGGGGTGTATATTATATATATGATTTTGTTAAGAGATAACTTTTATTAGTTTTAAACAAAAATTTGACGCCCATCATTACATACTGTAAATTTTATTAAAGTTTATGTCATTTATATTAGGTTGATTTTGTCACACTGTGTAAATAGCAGTAACTTTTTGAATATATAAGTAAGGTCCCCTCTGGTCACTTTAATGTTTTATGTTAGTTTTATAGAAGATATATACCTCCATGGCCTGACTTACTGATAATTTCTAGGTATGTCTAAGTTAAGAGTCAGTGTATGCTACATTATTGTTCAGTTTGACCAGACTTTACACTGATTACTGCTCTAACAACACAATCCCAGCCTGAAGTCAGTGCAGGGCATTTTTAGGAGAATAAAAGGTCAAGAACAAGGGTTAGTAATGAAAGAGCTTATAAGCTGATTTTCAAACTTCCTCGAACTTCTATAACTGAGAGTTTAAAATCTTTTTGCAAAAGTCAAATTATTACAAATATTATGAAGAAACTTTTTTACTTATATCAGGTTAGGGACCATGCGTGTCAATATCTTGAATAAAGAATTTTGTCAAAGGGTTCGGGACTGGGTATAAGGGTTGGCGACTTACCTAATGCTGTTTTGAAGTTAAATGGTCGTAAAAGTGTTGATTCTTAAATAAATATTGAAAGTTTGTTAAGTTTTAATTTTCCTATTTACATAAGCTTAACTTTAAGATTGCAAGAAGGTCTATCTGTAAAAAGAATTGAGTAAGTAAAGTGAAAAGAAAACTCTTTTTGAATTTATGTTATTGTTGCCTTGGAGAAAAGTGGGTAAAAGAAAAGATATAATAAACTTAGTTGTGCTGTTCATTTTTATTCTATTTCAAAAATAATTGTAAATAAAAAGCTTTTTAGGAGAGAACTTTTGAAATAATACTAGACAGTAGATTTTCTGTTATCTTCTGGAGGCATGTGCAGCTTTAAATCAGCTTGGACCAAATTTACTTGAATACATTTTAAATATAATTTGTCATTTATTTCAACTATATTATTTCTATATTGTTCCTTTAAATCTCTTTTAATACAGTCAACTATCCTTATCTCGACATCGCTTTTCTTGATATTTCGTTATCACGATGAAATTTTGAAAGTCCCGATTTTCTTCCTTCTTTATCTATATTGGATATATTTGTTTATCTCGATATTTTTATTTCGATATTTTCAGTATCTCGATATAAAATTTCAGCCCCAACAGTTATTTACACACTATTATCCTTTGTTTATCTCGACTAATAGTTTTCTTTCGTCTGTTCCCTTCAGACTGTGAAAAACACAAACAGACGATAATTGCTCAATAGCGCGTGTCATAATGATAATTATGTTTGTAACAAGTTGAGCTGTTATTATAAAAGTTAATCTAATTAGCGTGTTGATTGTTGTTGTCCAAAATGAGTGAATCTTGCCTTCTTTATAAATATTCGAACACTGTATCAATTCATTCAAGGCTTTTCACCTTCTGCAACCAGAAACTTTATTACAGAGCGTTGTTCCTCTAACAAAGAGTCCATGATAGACAAAACACCTATCATATATCAGAGGGCAAAATACTGTGTATACACAACTATCATTGAAAATAAACTGACCATGTTATTGGCGAATGAATGTAGTTTTCACCAATATATAATGTGTGTATAAAGCTGCACGTGGAAAGAGAGAAGCATGAAAAGTCCGGATATTTTCTGACCGTCCCTCGTATGTATGATTACATTGTTAGTATTGACCTCATTTCTCAGTTTTTGTTTTGTATTTTTGTTGCAGGTCGAAAATGAATGTGGATGCACCAAGTAACACCCGTCAAACATTTAGTAGTAGTAATAATAAAGAAGTGTTAAAAGTGAACAAAACTCATACAAACATACAACCACGAGTTGAAAATGAATCTTCAAATATAAGAACTTTTGGTGATTTTACTTTCGATATTGGCGGAGTTACAAATAAATTCTCACAAGCCTTACAGGCCAAATTAAACGAGGAGCCACCGTCGCTAGCCGGAGCTTATGGTAGCATGAACAGTCAGGAACATTATTTAAGTGACCGTAATCGCCAGAACGATGGATTACCACGAAGTCGTGCAGATAGAATACAGGCTATTAAAGACACGGCTGCAACCTTACAGAATCGGTTAAAGGAAGAAGCGAGAAAAATTCAGGCTCAAACCTCCAGTACTAATAAAAATGAAAGTAAGTTGAAAATAATAAATTTTTGCTGTTTTGATGTAATGATAATCGGAGGTGTGTAAATTATTATTGCCAATTTTAATTTTTAACATGCTTGTTCTTTACAATACAAAAATACAAAATTTCTGTAGATGAAAATTACACATAGCAGCATGCAAAAATTCTAAAAGATTAACACTTGTAAAGAATTGTTTGAGCTTTAGATGAAATAAGGTAAAGCAGTTTTAGCCTAGATAATTTGCCTTCCTAGATTACATTTATTTTGATACTTGAAATGAAATTTTAGCAGATTTTAATTTTTAACTGAATCTTTTAAAACTTTTTTATTTTGTTACATATTTAATAATATATTTGGGGTTCACCTTAAAAGTGCTGTATCTTCACTTTGAATAATTAAAACACCTGTGCCTCATGACAATATGCCATAACCGTGAAGTTAGTGATGATGCATACATAAAGATGATAAGAGTTGAAAGAGCTTTTAACTCATTCTTAAACATGACGTAATATATTGGGAATGACGCTCAAATGGTGGCCAGGGGAGATAATGCATGTTATGTGAAAAACATCAAAACTCTTTAGTAATGATTATGGAAAGGTTAACTTTAAATAGATTATCTTTAAGACATGGTCTGTTTATTAACAAAAAATCTCCTTAATTTTTGCTGTGTACAAAGATATAAAAAATTCACTATGAATAACTGAGAGGTGGCTTTAATGAATGTGGGTGGACAAAATGTTGAAAAGTCAATATTTAAAATAAGCATAATGTGCTTTAAGTCAACAATGGGGAAAATATTCCCGAAGTAAAACAAACACTCTAAAAGAGATTGTATATGGTGTTCACTGATATGAGGCCCTTCAGTTGCCCGAAAGTTTTATAACTTTTCAAACAAGAAAATGTTTACAGAAAATTATTAAGTTGTCATTTGTTCCTTGACATTTGAATAATTCAATATTCCATTTATTAAGGCAGTAATCATAGGTTTTAATAGAAACATTTTAGTGGATTTGGTCATATTTAAAAATAAAAAAACAATAAAAAAAACAAACACTTTTTTTGTTACCAGTTTTTATTTAAAACAGTTTGATTTGAAGTCATCAGTTTAATGGATAAGATGAAGAATATTAAGAGTTTATGACAGTAAAAAAAGTAAGCGTTCGATTGGGAATAAAATCTTAGAATTACTTTAGTAGCACAGAAAAAAAATATCATCTGTATGCAGGGGTATAAGATTCCACTCATCAGCTGGTATTTACAAGTCAGGGTTTGTACAGTCTTAAAAAGTCCTTAAATTGAGTCCCTTAAAAGTGCTTAAAAATGAAAAAATAAAAGTGCTTTAAAGTCTTTGAATTTGATAACTCTCTTGAAATGTACTTAAAAGTGCTGCAAATATGCTTAAAAATGTTTAGAATTGGTATAAATCAACAGTTAATAAAAACAGTTCAATTTAGTCCCAAATTTAGTGAAATGATAACTCAATGGTTACAGTTACAGGGGACACTGTAATTCATTCGAACTAGTTTTAATACGAATATACCATAGTTGCGCCCTTTTTGTTCTTTTATATAAACCATAATATGGCAACGAGAAAATACTACACATCTATATAATGAGGGGTATACATTACCATAATGAACAAGGATAATAATTATGGTTGCTAGTCATATTACTGATATTAATGTTACACTATGTATGTATGTAATGAGAGTAGATGAACAATAATATTAAATAAATTTGCTGGTCATACTAGAGTGGTTGGACCAATGCTCGGCGCATACCAATGCTCGGCGTAAAAAATATTTTTTTTAGAATATCTGAAAATGTCTCGAGTTATCTCCGATTTAGGTCACTGGTGCTTTTATTTACATCTTTCACCATTTTATCCTGGTGTGGTTCACTGCTGGTAAAGTCGCGTGAATATTCTAATAGCAAACGAACAACCGTATGTAATCCCCAACATATAAACTATTAAAATCTTTTAACACTAGTGTTCTGGGGCTGTGAAATTTAAACTAAAAGTTGGGTACTTGTAAATGTATGAACCTAATTTGGTTGTTACAATTTATTCAATATGTTTTCATCATAAGATAAAAAGAGATTTTATTCGAAAAACAATCCTGCATTATGTAGTATTGTACACCGAGCTATGGTACAATTTCACGCAAACCACTCTTGTTTATCCGGACTATCTATAGCTCCAGCCATGCACATCATTATGTGATTAGCGAATTTTACACAATGGCTATATAAAACAATATCATCGGTCTTGAAAATGGACATATAACATTGAGGTTTGTTGACGTTGATTTGAATTTGCTATATAAAATATAGTATGTTTATGCCGAGCGTTGGTCCACCCACTCTAGAATATTTTAGTGACACTTCACATGAATACATATATTAAAATATCACATAATGTGTATGTATTGTTATTTAGCAGTCAAGACTTAAGTTTCCAGTGTTTGTTTTATGACTGTCATAAAGTTGTTTTATCATTGGTTACATTTATGATACATGTGCAACAAATAGTGGTTGAAAAATGGGAAAATTGTTTTATCATTGGTTTCATTTATGAAATATATGCAACAAATAGTGCTTAAAAAATTGGAAAATAAAAAGTAATTTTGTGTTTGCTTATTTATGTTTCGTATGATGAAACCATAGCTTGTGTACTTGCAGGTTTTTATTTGAAAAATGATGAATTCAGTGTTTGATAATTTCAATTTTAGATGGTGCTACTTCACGTCCTACAGTGAGATGGAATGATGATACGTCACATCGCGACCGAGAGGAAGAATTCATGTCACGATATGATCGTGTGATAGGAGCCAACGAAGATCATTCTGTGTTTAAAACAAATCTTCCAGGTAAATTATGTTTCACATTGTAATATCAGTCCTAAGAATGGAGAATATTAAGATGATATTTAAAATATGACTCTTACTGTTGTGTTGTTTATATTTTATAATCTGCAAATTTTCTTAAGTCTAGAATTATATTAATTTTAGTATGAATGTTATAAAGTGTTGGTTAGTTTCAAGGGGAGAATATTTTGTACGTCTAGTTTGGTTTGCTTGTGTTGGTTCGAGTTATGCTTTGTTGCAGTGAATTCTTATATGGAAACTATAAAGCTAAAATAGGAAAGTTCATAAGCTGCATCAATATTCCCCCACATTCCTGAAATAATTGATATATAGAAATAGAGTGCATGTAAGAATTATATATTTACAGGTTCCCAGCCTCAGACAAGGCAACCTGATGTTGGGATTACAGCAGGGAACCAGCCCAAGTTAATCTCAGGAACCAATGATATTGGTGAAGATACAACGATAACAGAGACCTCTACCTTTAGTGAGATTACGTTAACTGACGATTCTGATGAGGAAGAATTGCAAGGCAGGAAAGTAAGTGTGAGCTATACCTTAACAGGACTTCATATATAATATCTTATGTGATAGGCATTGTGCTATTCTGTGCTAGACTGATGTGACTTTGTGACCAGTCATATATCATAAACTAGTTCTATAAAGGTGCCACCATTTACCTGGTTTTGTCTTAGAGAGGGCAGCATTCAATGGAATCCTTTGCCCATGTGAGGGTGTTAGTAAACTGACCAACCTTTGTAAAAGAAACTAGTTATTATCAAAGTGCCAGCATTTGCCTAAGGTGCCAGAATATGCCTGAATTATGTCTGAAGATAACTTGTCAGGAGTTCTTGTGATAATTGTTACGGAGTTTGTCGGAAAACTTTTGTATACACTACCTAAACACCATCAAAAATGCTAATTGGCAGGGTTGCACAGGTGCAAACCAGGGTTATAGTATGGTGAATGTTGGGCTGAGGGCTGGCGGGGAAAAACTTTTCGTAACAGTTTTCTCAGCAACTACTTATCAGAGCCTCCTGATATTTAGCATACAGCATTGACACCTGGTCCCATATCCTGGGATTAGATTGCAGATCTGTAGCTGATCCACTTCCTGTTTACGGAGTTAGTTAAATTTTTCGACTTTAATGGTAGGAAAATTTCTTAACAGTTTTCTCACCAACTACTTGTCACAGCCTCTTGATATTTGGCATTCAGCATAGACACATAATCCCATACCATGGGAGTCCATTTCAGGTCTGTCGCTCACCCACTATCTGTTTGCCAACATAGTTAAATTTTAAACATTAATGGTCGGTGGTAAATTTTTTTCATAACATCACAGCATCATGATATTTGGTATACAAATGCAACCCGCCTTTTATGTCTTTGACCCATTTTTTCTCCTTTAAAAAGTGAGTTTTAGGTGCTTAATTAAAGTTTAATGATTAAGCTTGCCTAACATCTTGTTTTATGTGTCAAAAATAATTCATAGTGAATTTTTCATTGTCTCTTGTTTAAAATCTGGTAGTTTTTAACTTTTTAGTAAAATTTCCAAATTATTTGCTGATTCGAACGTATTAACCTTTTTATCTCTGGTCTTCATCCTTGCCATACATAACCTAATTATAATGCAAAATTGCAAACATGAAGCCCCGGCTAACAAATTTCTGTTGTTAGTTGGTGGTTTTCTTAATAAAAATAACATTATTGAGTGTATGTGGGTTGTATGGACATGTGCTGGCTTTCCATTTTACTGATGGATTGGAAAATAAAACAAATGTTAATATAACATCATTTCTAAAAAGAATTGTTGTTCTTAACACCTCACCTGCTGAAACCAAAAGTGATTACTCTTTGCCACCAGTTTAAAACCAGGCCACTCTGCATTCCTGTGCTGTCTGACCGGGCTTTATACTGTTTACTCTTGCCATTCAATCTCTACAGTTTTGTGTGACAACAAAAATGAAAAGAAAATCTGATATTTGAGTAATTTAGTGATTTGCTTTATTGTCTTTTGTTCATTACATGAGATCATGGTTTTTCTTTTAGATTGGTACGGGTCTGCGGAAGGCGGAGTTTCATGCTGGAAGTTCCAGTCAGACGGGCCTTAGTAAAGGTACCACACAACTCAATATCCCTCGTCCCACCCACCCTGCTACCAACAAGGCCAGTAACTCTTGGGACGATTCTCGCACAGATGAATTTAATGTGTTCAGTATTTATTCTCGTAGACAAGAACGACGTAAGTTTTACTGTTTCTTTGTACATATAAAGGATCTTACATGCCATGTTATATCTCATATTGATTTATTTTAAACAAGTCTATGAGCAATTATCTTGCTTCTCTATTACATTTCTTGGACAAGACATTTTTGTACAAGTTAGAAATCACTGTGGAAACAATAAATAAATAACTATATCATCCAAGGTTTCGAGGGGTCAAACCTCTCTTAATCAAGGAGTTTGCTGTTTATTTTATAAATCACATATTTATAAATTCTCCTTTTTTCTAGCACTGGTATTCATAATATTGGACAAGTTAACAACATTTTATAGGTTACTTTGATACAAAAGTAATAGATAAATGTATAATGGTTAAAGTGACGGGAATATCTTTCATCAGTATTTAAACATTTTAAAATGTACCATTTGGATATTCATATCAAATATTTCCTTAGAAAAAAAGTTAACAGAGTTCTGAGTGATTTAGTATGAACATACATGTATGTTCTTATATGAGGACAATATTTTGTTCTAGAATGCTATATATACCTGGGTTGTTCAAAAAGTAATAGGACTGCAGCTCTACTGTTCACATTTCTTAATTTACTTACACAGTTTTACAAGAGAAAATAACTTTAGGTCTAATAATTCTTTGGTCAGAACTGATTAATTAGACCTGATGCAGATATCAAATATCCTGGACAGTACATGGACTGTTTACTGTTGCTCCTTTTGTAGTGCTAACTGCTTTTGCAATTGATGTTGTTAATGTTACATCAATTTTTTATGCCCCCGCCATATAATGGCAGGGGCATATAGTGTTACCCTGTTCTGTCATTCCGTCATTCCGTCATTCCGTCCTTCCGTCCTTCCGTCATCATCAGTTTCCGTTCATTATCTTAATAACCCTTGCACATATTGAACTCAAATTTGACATATGGATATGTCATGAGAAAATACAGGTCAAGTTCGAATTGGTCATGGTTCGATGATTTTTGGCAGAGTTATGCCCCTTTTACATTGAAAATAATATGAAATTTTCAGTTTCCGTTCATTATCTCCCAAACGGTTAAAAAACATTCAATTCAAAATTGACATATGGATATGTCATGAGAAAATACAGGTCAAGTTCGAAATTGGTCATGGTTCGATGATTTTTGGCAGAGTTATGCCCCTTTTACTTTGAAAATAATATGAAATTTTCAGTTTCCGTTCATTATCTCCCCAACGGTACAACACATCCAACTCAAACTTGACATATTGATATGTCATGAGAAAAATACAGGTCAAGTTCAAATTTGGTCATGGTTCGATGATTTTTGGCAGAGTTATGCCCCTTTTACTTTGAAAATAATATGAAATTTTCAGTTTCCATTCATTAACTCCCTAATGGTACAACACACATTCAACTCAAAACTTGACATATGGATACGTCAAAGGAATGCGCAGGTCAAGTTCAAATTTGGTCATGGTTCAATGATTTTTGGCAGAGTTATGCCCCTTTCACTTTGAAAATGATATGAAATTTTCAGTTTCCGTTCATTATCTCCCCAATCGTACAACACATTTAGCTCAAACTTGACATATCGATACGTCAAAGGAATGCGCAGGCCAAGTTCAAATTTGGTCATGGTTCGATGATTTTTGGCAGAGTTATGCCCCTTTTACTTTGAAAATAATATGAATTTTCAGTTTCTGTTTATTATCTCCCCAACAGTATTAAACATTCAACTCAAATTTGACATATTGATACGTCAAAGGAATGCGCAGGTCAATTTCAAATTTGGTCTTGGTTCGATGATTTTTGGCAGAGTTATGCCCCTTTTCACTTTAAAAAATAATATGAAATTTTCAGTTTCCGTTTATTATCTCCCCAACAATATTACACATTCAACTCAAATTTGACATATGGATATGTTTTTGGAATGCCCAGGCCAAGTTCGAATCTGGTCATGGTTCAATGATTTTTGGCAGAGTAATGCCCCTTTCACTTTGAAAATGATATGAAATTTACAGTTTCTGTTCATTATCAACCCAACAGTGTTACATATTCAACTCAAAATTGACATATGGATATGTCAAAGGAATGCGCAGGTCAAGTTGGAATTTGGTCATGGTTCGATGATTTTTTGGCAGAGTTATGTCCCTTTCACTTTGAAAATAATATAGATACATCTTAGGAATAAGCAGTTTAAGTTTGAATTTGGTCGTGGTTCAATGATTTTAGACAAACTTATCTTTCCTGAATGTTGGAAAAATTTTGAACTTTCAGTTTCAGCACTCATACTTTTGTGGAAATGTATATAGCCATTATGTTGGCTACAAATATGCAATATGCTATTTTTAAAAGGTTAAGACTGAATAATTTCAGTGCCTTGAACATTGTATAAAAATGGTTAAGACTGAATAATTTCAGTGCCTTGAACATTGTATAAAAATGGTTTGTGTTAACATTGAAAAGTTTTAAGGGCTTTGAACTTAGAATGAAAAAAATAATTTGTGCAAACAAATTTGGAACTAAATATTATAACATTTGAAATTTTGGCTGCATGCGGGGGCATCCGTGGCATGATGACACATTTCTAGTTTCTTTCATCCTTGCCCTTTCCTGTTTGTGATCTCGCATTCACTGCCTTTAAATTACTTAAACTACTTTTGCCAGCTGAAAAAAGTGTTTTGGTGACTGATTAATTGTCCTGTGATAATTTAATCATTTTATACATGTATGTATCTGACTGAGCATTGCCAATATGTTGGCCAAACTTAACTCTAGCACAAAATTTCTGTTTTTTTTTAATGCTATGAAAACTACTGTTAAAACTTTATAATTTATATTAGTCATATCATATCTGAATGACATCAAATTTGGACATTATGGCTTTGAAACAAGTTGAAATTTTATACTCTTCTTTGAGAGCATAATAGGACTTTCTCCTGAAGGCCTAAAACTGTAACATGTTTTTAAAGAAAAATTTTGCCTTTTTGTAAACATAGAAATTTTTCATTATCAAGGCTCTTTTACTATCAAGCAATAAGAATAGTCGAGCAAGCTGTCCTACCAACAGCTCTAGTTTGATTTGCTGCGCCAAGTGCTTGTTACCATCGTTATTCAATATCACAGGGAACACGCGTTTAGCAGAATAATCTAATAAACTTATGCTCAAATTGTAGAAAACATTTTACAAATGCTGTGTATATATATAAAAATATTTTAAATTGAGTTAAATATGAAGCTTTAACCCTATTTCTTTTTGAACAACCTCGTAGATATATAATACCAGATCATGTATCTCACAAAAACAACTTTCATATGTAGTGCTTTCATGGTTTGTTCCAATGTATCATACTAAATGCTTTCAACATGATTATTTATGATATAATTGACATTCCATTATGGACTGAATTCACTTTGAGTTACATTAAAAATAAGCATGTTTTTTTACAAAATTTGATTAAATGATTTGGTAATCCATTACATTATTATTTCATGCAATATTTAAAAGTTTGCAAGTCAATTTAGAATATTTAGCATGGTAAGAGTTCAAAATCTTTTTGCTTAAGTTTAAAATGTTTTTGACTATTAGTATAGTATTTGCATTATATTTACAGTGATAAGACCTGGTAGGGAGCCAATGTCTAAAAAGAAATCTGCTGAGTCAGAAATTCAAGCTAGTGTGACTCAGAGTCAGTCAGCTGGGCCATCCATAAAGTCCAGCTCATCTCAGCGCCAACCAGCTGTAGGGACAGGGAGAAGGTCACCCGGGTTAACAGGCCGGCGTGCTGATAGTCCTTACAGTCAGAACTCTGAATCTCTACGCACTCTGAGTCCTGTTGAGAGGACAAGGTGAGTTTGACTGATTGCCTGTGGACTGTTTGCTAAGATGACCTTAAAAATGAATTTATGAAATTGTTCAGCAGAAAATTCCTCTGTTTTATTCAGGGATGCCAATTTTCCGCTGATCCGCGGAAATCCGCGGATTTCGAGATCCTCGAACCACTTTTGAGAACAATGTAAATCCGAGGAGAATATTTGGTGGGTGGGGGTCTCTTACGCCGAGTTTGCTACCGTCTATTGTCCGCCGATTGTAAATGTTTAGACCGTACCGTAAATATTTAGACCGTACGGCTTTTCGGGTATGTTCAGTTATTGTCGCTTTTATAGTAAGCCAATGAACGATAGCGTTAAATATACAGACCAATCGTAGCGTCTTTCTGTAGTTGAAGAAAACAAAATGTCGGCCGATTAGCCAATTAACTCCAACAACGCTTCGAAAATCAAAGACTTGACAAAAATGTAAAAAATAAGTTTAATTTGAAATGGTTAGAGAACACAGTAAATGTGAATATCTGATCAACGAGACAACCGTCCGCATTGGTGATGATTTCGTCAAAATAAATATCAGTAAATATCAATATCAGTTGATGAAAATATGTGATAAAGCACTAAAAGGAAATGAATTTTAGACCATCTGAAAAGGATGAAAACCCTTGAGCTTCAGGGGGCTTCGCCCCTGGGTCCCCCATGACTACGCAGCCCCCATGACCCCTCGTGTTATTTTCCTCGTTTTTCCAAATTGTCTGTTGGCATCCCTGTTTATTCATCTGAAAAGTGTCCCTCTGTCCGGCCGTCACAAAACTTGTCCGGATTACTCCTAAAAAAACAACTGCTACAATTTCATCCAAAGTTTACAGGAATGATCAGTTCCAAGTCTAGTTGAGCATTTCATTGGCATTTTCCAGTTTTAATGATTTTTGTCAAGAGTTCTTGCCCTTTAATGATTCATATTTTTAAATTGTCCAAACTACTCCTCTTGTATCATTAATGCTGAGTTTCAATGAAACTTTACAGGATTGATTGGTAGCTCAAGTACTTACACATTTTACACAGATTTTCATTTGAATGATTTTTGGCTGAGTAATGGCCCTTCAATAAAAAAGTGTTAATAAAGTTTGTCCGGACTATTATATAACTCCTATTATACCACCAATGCAATTTCAATGAAACTACAGGATTGATTGGTAGCTCAAGTACTTACACATTTTACATGGATTTCCACTTGAAAGATTTTTGGCCGAGTCATGGCCCTTGAATTAAAAAATGTGTTTTGCCATGTTCATGATTTTTGTGTCGTCTGCTACAGTCAGTAGCTGCAACATGCAATTAGCTAATATAAGGTGACACATGTGATCACTGATTGCTCTTGTATATAATACTTTATTTAATGATTTTTTTGTATGTGTTGTTTTGGTACTGTATAGATTTCCACACTTGGATGGGGTTCAAGGTTAGTTGGTCAAGATGAGTTAATAAATTATGAGATTTCTACTGGTTTCTCCTCTGGTTGAGGTCGTGACTTTAGTTTGGTCTAAGCATCTTTTGTGTTTCTTAACCTTTTACTGCATGAGCATATTGTTAAAAATGGCTGTTTTCATTGAAAAGTCTCCTGTTACAAGTTTAAACTGCTATGAAAATACAAAATGGTTCATTACTGATCAAACTTGGCACAAGTGTTGACTGGACCATTGTCATTCTATCTTAAATTTCCTGTTACCATGGAAAAATTGCTAAAAATCACTATTTTTCGTTGTTTTTCCCTCAAAACTGACTTCAAAGTGCTGCCACTTCTCAATGGATTTAGATAGAGGAAAAAGCTTTTCAGCATGGTAACACATTACCTTAAGATAGACCCCCCTTCAAACCCCAAAGCAGAAATGGGCACTCCATTGCTGTATCAATTTGGTAGGGGATGGCGCCAAAAAAGTGATCACTTTTTTTAACGACACTTCCTAAACGAAAAACAGTGTTTGGGGCCTAAATATGGCATTTGTTTCACTATTAGAGGCCTCCAAAAAGGGTGAGCGTGTGTGTGTGTGTGGGGGGGGGGGGGTTGAAAAGCCATGAAAACTTGTCAATATGATGTAAAAGGTTAAGTTACAGCTTTGTTCTTGAAATATTTATCTTGTTAAAATGATATTGAAAAACTGAATTTTCTAATTTTCTTTTCAAAGATCAAAGCAGTCAAAGTCAGGTATAAAATCTGAAGAACATTATGGAGATGAGGAAACTGTTGGTGAAGAATCTTACACACAGTCTTTTGAAAGGTATAGTTTTACCCCGAAACAAAGTTTGGGGTGGGGGTATATAGGAGTCACCAATCTAGCGGTTCATTACATTTTCCTTGTCTGGAGCATAACTTGAAGACTTATGGTTGGAATTCAATACAACTTCTTACAATGGTCAAGCACATTGAAAGGAAGTGCAGTGCACAAGAACCATAACATCATCTTGACTAATTACAGAGTTATTGTGCTTTGTTACTATTCCTTGTCTGGAGCATAACTTGAAAAGTACTGGTTGGAATTCAAAACAACTTTATACAATGGCCAAGCACAATAAGAGGAAGTGCAGTGTACAAGAACCATAACTCTATCCAGAGTAATTATAGAGAGATTTTCCTTTGTTTCTTTTCCTTGTCACAGAACATCACATGAAATCAACAGGTTTGAATTCAATACAAGTTTGTACAATGTCAAGTATATATTCAGAGGAATGGCAGTGCACTGGAACCATAACTCTTTCTTGACTCATTTTAGAGTTAGTGCCCTTTGTTACTTTGTATTGTCCTGTGCATAACTTAAAAACTAATGTTTGGAATTCAATGCAACTTCAGACTATGATCAAGCGCAGTGAGAGGAAAAGCAGTGCTTAAGAACGAAAACTCTATCTTGACTTATTACAGAGTAATTCAATCTAACTTTATCAATTGTCAACTTTAAGTGGAAGGAAATGCAATGTACAAGAACCACAACTATCTTAATTGCCCACAACCATAACTCTATTTCAATTCTTTTACAAGGTATTCTGTTACTAGTAACTTCCTCAACTTCCTCATTTCCGAAGCAGTCGGGGGGGGGGGGGTATTAATCACATTTAGTGATAGCTTTTCAATAAGAGTAAGTAGAGCTATCTTGCATGCATCCTGATAAGCTCAGTTCCGTTTCAAATTCTACTTGTTTAAGGAAATATCTTCTTGGACAGTTTACAAGAATCAGATGCTTTGTTTGATAAAACATGACAAAAATAGAAAACTTTTACACTGATATTGTAATTTTCTAAAAGACAATGATAACTACAGTAGAACTTCTATGAGTCGAACTTCGATTAGTCGATTTTCTCGATGTGTCGAAGTAAAATGAAAGTCCCGATTTTTTCTCTTATATTTTCCATATAAAAACCTATTTATGAGTCGAGATTTTATGTGTCGAATTTTTTGATGTGTCGAAGTTTTTTCGTGGTCCGTATAGAATAAATCTAGTACAATTTACCACAAATAAGTCGAAGTCCTTCGATTATTTTGACACCTTCGATCTCGAGACATTTTTCACACCTTTTCTTGCCGCGAAGACGATTTCCGATCAACTTAAGTGACACGTGTTAATTACACAGCCGAGTGTTAAAACAACCTTTTGAATGCGTTTAAATGTGTGAAAAAATGCTTTAAATCGTTACTAATTTAATTGCCGTAGCGGTATTTGGAAGTACATGTTTAACAGTAAGAACTATCATACTTATAGTGACCCGGTGTCGCGTGATAATCACACGCGAAATATTTACTATAAGCTGGTTAAGTTATTGCCTTTCGAATTGTAACGCCTTTTGTAACTTCATTTGTATATGTCAACAGGTAGTTCAAATCATTAGCCGTGAAAAGTTACTTAACATGTCATATTTATCATTGCATAAAGTAAAATATCAGATTAATAAATGAAAGAAAACATGAAATAGGTTACGTTTTAGATCTTATAATTAGGGTTAGTCACGGGTTGAAATTTTGTCATGGAATTCAGAACGATTCATGAGTCGAAGTCCCGATGTGTCGAAGTTTTTACGCAAGTCCCCCCAACTTCGACTTACCGAAGTTCTACTGTATTTGAACATTTATCCCCATGTTGAAGAAGCACATGTTATGGTTGTTCTGGTTACATTTCATTAACAGTTAGTAAGATGTTCACTGCAACATGTGCTAAACATTGTGAAAGCTAATAAGTTAAGTTAGTCTAAAATTAATGGTGCTAATGAATTATTTGGTTCTTATGCCAATAAACTATATAAAACTCATGCTGATAAAGTATATAAAACTTATGCTAACCAAAACAAGGGTATGAAATACAACATGCAGTCTGCAATGATAATCAGACAAAGATATTATTCCTGATAGCTTTGCTTAATCTAATTTGAAAAAAATATATATACATGTATAGGGAAATATGATGTTTCCATTGTCGACTAGGATTTCATAGTCTCTGCGATCAATTTTCAGTGAGGAAAAGACAACATCACGAGGAAAAAGTATGACAGATAAAATTGTTCATAGCCACAGAAGCTTGCCAGCAACATCAGTAAGATCAACAACTAAAGTCTCGGATAGAGTCTCACCTGAAATGGAATCTAGTATGGAAGAAGAGTTATCACAGGTAATGTTGTACAGTGTAACCTCTCAAGAGCAGCCCCCTCGATAGAGCAAGAACCTCTTTACAATAACAGTTTCTAGTTTCTCCAAAGTATTATTTTACAATAAACTTATCTTTTCTAGACAATGCCTGTATACAACAACTAATTGTCTCATTTGATTTGCACAGCTTATTCTGAAATAATGTTTGATCAGTAGAAGGTCACTTGAGTAGATATTTATAATTACTGGCCAGGTATCCAGGAAAGCTGCTTAGCTGGACCAACTGCTGTGATATGACTGAAAATGTGTTAAAACTGGCATAAAATATCATACAAATAAACAAACTCAAACAGTGTCGGTCTGCAGATTCATTAGCATCTGTGTTAAACATTTAAATTCATCATATCAGGGTACTCTTTGGTTAATATGTAGCTTTATATGCTTCTATTAAGGCTTTTCAAGGTTAACCCAGTAAACTATGTTGCACAAGAATTATTACTGAGTATGTGCATTTGGTACAGGATGAAGCCACTCCGAAGAGCAGAGCGAATGTTATCAAGATTCTGAATCAGCTGGACCGCCAGCGACTTTCCCCGAACTCTCTTGAACGTAGATTCTACACAGAGTTTCACAATTTGGAAAGTATGGAGATGTCATTAAAACAGCTTACAAATGTAGATAGAACGCGTGCAGTATCAATGGCCCAGCAGGAAACCGTTTCACTTGCTCAGATGCTCAAGGTGAGACATATATAAATGCTTACACTGAATTATGTATCGACTTTTTTGGAAAAAAAAATAAGAAGTATTGTTACAGTTATGTCGGCATTGCCAGCAGCAAGCTTGTACCTGATCATAACTTTTTATGTTTTTGGTGTATTGTCTTCATACTTTGCCACATCAACCCTTGGGACAAGACCTTCAATTAGACCAGACTTACCTTCAACTTACATTTAAAAACAACCTTCATCTAAATTTTGCTTGGTTTTTACTGATTTTTAGCACACCAGAACCGAAGGTTCAGGGTGAGCTATTAGTATCAAAGGGGGATGCTCCGGCATCCGTTGTCATGCGTCATACAATTAAGCAAGACACACACAGCAGAAAGCATAATGTGCATGTAAGAAAGCAAAATGTAAAAGTCAGAATGCAAGATGTACAAGTCAGAATGCAAGATGTACAAGTCAGAATGCAAGATGTACAAGTCAGAATGCAAGATGTAACGTAAGAAAGCAAGAAGTAATTTTTGCGTTAATACCCTTCCATATTCTTGGGTAATCTTTATCAAGTTTGCTCATATTAAATTGATTAACACCTTTTAGGGGCAGCTAAAGCTAAAAATAGAAATACCTTTTAACATCTATTTCTACAGAACTAATCAAAGGATTATCACTAAACTTTGTCTGTAGCATTCTTGGGTAGTTTTTTATCAAGTTTGCTCATAAGACATATCAATTTGATTAACACCTTTAAGGGGCAGCTAAAGCTAAAAATAGAAATACTCTTTAAACGTCTATTTCTACAGAACTAATTGATGGATGATTACCAAAATTTGTAGCATTCTTAGGTACTCTTTTATCAAGTTTGCTCATATTGATTTGATTGGCCCCTTTAAGGAGTCTCTAGGGCTAAAAATAGAAAAACCTTTAAATGTCTTCTTCTACAGAACTATTTGATGGATGATCACCAAACTTTGCCTAGCAGTATTGGGTAGTCTTTTATCAAGTTTGCTCATATTAATTTGATTAGCCCCTTTTAGGGGCTGCTAAAGCAAAAAATAGAAATCCCTTTAAACGTCTCTTTTCTACAGAACTAATTGATGGATGATCACCAAACTTTGTAGCATTCTTGGGAAGTCTTTTATCAAGTTTGCTCATATTAATTTGATTGGCCTTTTTAGGGGTCTCTAGGGCTAAAAGTAGAAAAACCTTTAGACGTCTTCTTCTACAGAACTAATTGATGGAAGATCACCAAACTTTGTCTAGCATTTGTCACAGGGTGAGAAAAATGTGCAGCCTGACCGGGACTCGAACCCGGGACCCTCGGAATACCGTACCGCGGCTCTACCAACTGAGCTATCCGGCCGCTTACACATCTTCTCCCCTAAATAGTGAACAGTTCTGAACCGTGACATACACCCCTGCTAAATTGAAATTCGTCCTGGAATTTCACAGAGTTACAGAGCAATGTAAATTAAACTCTGAGCTATCAGTCACGGTCCCCCGTTGGGCGCCAAATGTCACAGGGTGAGAAAAATGTGCAGCCTGACCGGGACTCGAACCCGGGACTCTCGGAATACCGTACCGCTGCTCTACTGACTGAGCTATCCGGCCGCTTACACATATTCTCCCAAAAAATTTCAGGGGGAGCATATAGTCGCCGGTTGTCCGTCTGTCTGTACGAACGTACGTATGTCCCGAATTCTTGTCTGGCCCATAACTTTGTTATTTGAAGTCGGATTTTAAAACTATTTCACAGAAATGATCACCATATTGAGACGACGTGTCGCGGGTAACATTTTGCTCACTACCTTGAAGGTCAAGGTCACAGCATGACCTTGAAGAAAAATTGTGTCCGGCCCATAACTTCCTTATTACAACTATTTCACAGAAATGATCAACATATTGAGATGCCATGTCGCGCGCATGTCGGTAGAAAGATCTAATTGAGTAGAAGTGCAGTGCAAAGAACAGTACCTCTGCATTGCCTAAGTTTGGAATTATCACATTTTGAACTTTGTCTGGGACATAACTCTGAAACTACAAAAGATATACTTTTCTGTGTCCAAATCCTAGTCGGGGAACATCACCCGGTTCAACCGCTCTTGTTACTATTAGTGACTATAACTTTGTTATTTTGTAATGGATTATCTTCAAACTTGCACATAATCTTTTAGGATAGACCTTCAAGTTAACCAGACAGACATTGACATTCACTCAAAAATGACCTTGACATTGAAGGTCAAATTATTGAAATTTTCATATATTTTTAGCTCACCTGTCACAAAGTGACAGGGTGAGCTTTTGTGATCGCTTTTCGTCCGGCATCTGTCGTCCGTCCGTAAACTTTTACTTTAAATGACATCTCCTCATTAACCACTGAGCCAATTTCATCCAAACTTCACAGGAATGTTCCTTTGGTGGTCACCTTTAAAAGTTGTTCAAAGAATTTAATTCCATGCAGAACTCTGGTTGCCATGGCAACCGAAAGAAAAAACTCTAAATATCTTCTTTTAAAAATCGAAAGAGCTAGAGCTTAGATATTTGACATGAAACATCTTCTAGTGAGTGTCTACCAAGTTTGTTCAAATAAAAGCCCTGGGGTCAGAATTGGCCCCGCCACAGAGAGTCATTGATTTTCCCTATATGCATATAGTAAAAACTTAAAAAAATCTTCTTTTAAAGAACCAAAAGAGCTAGAGCTAAGATATTTAGCATGAAACATCTTCTAATGAGTGTCTACTAAGTTTGTTCAAATAAAAGCCCTGGGGTCAAAATTGGCCCGGTCCCGGGGGACATTGATTTCCTTATATGTGTATAGCAAAAACTTAAAAATCTTCTTTGAAAAAACCCAAATAGCTAGAGTTTAGATATTAAGCATGAAACATTTTCTGGTAAGTGTCTACAAAGTTTGTTCAAATAAAAGCCCTGGCGTTAAAATTGGCCCCGCCCCAGGGGGTCATTGATTTTCCCTATATGCATATAGTAAAAACTTAAAAAATCTTCTTTTAAAGAACTCAAAGAGCTAGAGCTAAGATATTTAGCATGAAACATGTGCTAATGGGTGTCTACCAAGATTGTTCAAATAAAAGCCCTGGGGTCAAAATTGGCCCGGTCCCGGGGGACATTGATTTCCTTATATGTGTATAGCAAAAAAAACTTAAAAATCTTCTTTGAAAAAACCCAAATAGCTAGAGTTTAGATATTAAGCATGAAACATTTTCTGGTAAGTGTCTACAAAGTTTGTTCAAATAAAATCCCTGGGGTCAAAACTGGCCATGACCCAGGGGTGTCATTGTTTTTAACTATATGTGTATAGTAAAAACTTAATAAATCTTCTTTTAAAAAAACCCAATGAGCTAGAGCTTAGATGTTTAGCATGAAAAATCTTCTTATTGTAGTCTACCAAGTTTGTTCAAATAAAAGCCCTTGGGTAAAAATTGGCCCTGCCGGGGGAGGGGTGGGTGAGGGCAGAGGTCATTGTTTTTCATTATATGTGTGTAGTAAAAACTTAACATCAAGAAACATCTTCTAATGGGTGACTTAAGTTTGTTCAAATAAAAGCCCTGGGGTTTAAACTGGCCCTGCTCCAGGGGCCTATATACAGGTGAGTGACTTCAGGACCATCATGGCCCTCTTGTTGTTTTAACTGGTTTTAACTTTGTTATTAGTGAATGGATTGACTTAATATTATAACAAAACATTCTCTAGGATAGACCATCATGTATATACAACTCAAATTGATCTTGGCTCTTTAACTCTAGCATGGATTTTGACAGAATTATAGCCCTGTGTGTATTTACTATTAAGAAAATTGGTTTAATATTTTGCTTGCAATATTAATTTTTTTGAAAATACTTGAAACTTGATTCATGCTTTTTGAATGACAATTCAAGGTCATTTTCGAAGAACCCTTACTTAAGCATTGATGTGTAATAAGGTAAGGTCCATTTTGACATTATAAAATTCTTTTGTCAATATATATCCATGCTTATATCCATGCCATATACATAGTTTGTATTTTTGTGGATGAAATCTTCCTCTCTGTTAATTCTTAAAATATTGAGGCTCTTTTCCTACTAGCAAGCACAGCAAATTGTCTAGTGTCCTGCCCTACTGACACAACTCTTGTTTTATTATTTTATAAAATATTAGGCAAAACAGCAGGGTTATGACCAGCAGTTGAAAGAAATTCAGTTAAAGGCTCAATTAGAGGCTACAGAAGCAACAAAACAACTTGAAGATGCTAGAAAACGTGCATCTGAGGCTGCGATCAATGCTGCTGATATGATTGCCAAGGTATTTCTAGACTTAATGAGCTATTTTGTAAACTCTTTAAGAAGCTAAATGTTTCAAATTGACTTGCTAATCTTTCAGTTTGTACTAAACCATCATTTGTAGAGAAAATTTTAATACATATATTATGTATATTTATTGGCTGAATAGCTTACAGTGCAGACCATGAAAATTATAATTGGTCCATTTTTTGGGGGTGGGGGGGGGAGGGCAAGTGGTTAAGGTCTTTGACTTCAAACCTATTGCCCCTCAATGCTGTGGGTTTGAATCCCTACAGGGACTTTGGATTCTTTCATGTGAGGAAGCTTTCCAGCTAGCTTACGGAACATCGGTGGTTTTACTCAGGTGCCCTGCTTGTGTCTGAAATAATGCACGTTAGGGCACCTGAGGTCTACCTCCACCAGTAAAAGCTGGAATGTCGCAATATGACCTATACTGTGTCGATGTGACGTAAAACCCAAAACAAAAAAAACAAAAACAAACAAACCATTTTTTGGTCTAAAGTTGCATTTTCTTTATAGTAATAAAGGTTATTTCAAAGTATGAGTAACAGACATGTAACAATACCATATCCTTGGTTGAAAAGTATTCTGACTATTTTCTTGCCTTTGATTTCCCAGGTAAGAGGGGAAGGGGTGTCTGCAATTCAGGAATCCACAAGAAAACTCATTGACACTCAGACTGAGGCTGCAAAAGCCACTGCAGAGGCTGCCAAATTTTTGTCTGAAGCTCGGGCCCTTGGCCTCCAGGACACCAACACACTGGCTGTAGAGACTGCAGCCTCTGCTGCAGCTTCTGCTGTAAATACTGCCCTCGAGAAGAAATGGCAGGGTAAGAGTAAGTTGAGTAAATCAACGAAACGGCGATCTGACGAGGCGCATGATCATGATGATTCTGAGAGTGTCGGTAAGTTATTGTTTGTTTAGTACTGCTAAGTTTGTTATAGTTATAAAGTGTAGGTAAATTTGGTTATAGTTATTTAGTGTTGATTATAATTTGTTTAGTGTTACTAAGTGTATAATAATTATGTATATTTGGTAAATTGGTTATAGTTATTTAGTGTTGATTATAATTTGTTTAGTGTTGCTAAGTGTGTAATAATTATGTATTGTTGGTAAATTGGTTATAGTTATTAAGTGTTGATTATAGTTTGTTTAGTGTTGCTAGGTGTGTAATAATTATTGTATTGTGTATAGAAATGTAAATGGTTGGATCAACTGCTGTTGTCTGAATTGTTGTATTTAAAGGCATTATGCTGGCATACTTTTTATGAACACCTAGAAAGGCACCATATGACCTTCACAAAGCTTATTTAATTAGCTTAAGTATATGATTTTCAACTATTCCTTTTGTTTTCATTGATGTCAAGGGAGATCTTAAATATTGCAATAATATGAGTTGAGATCAGTTTACTGTGTTGAAGTTAATTTTGTTTGTAAATGTTTCAGGCTCTGTGGATGATTTTAGTATAAACGAGTCAATGACAGAAGATGAAAAGGAGGAGAAATCGTTCCGACTTATTTTGCCGTCAGAAAGTCACAGAAAGAAAGGAAAACATGTTCACTCAGATAATGAATCTGTTGCTTCTGAAGGTAGTTTTACTATTGCTTATTTTGGTTGTAAATACATGCAACTGTTGGGGAAAATGTGAAGCATTGAAATTTCATATGCTGTTTTTTGACGACAGTCTGTGTAAAAACGACTTTATTTTGTATCTCTGATTAGATGCCCTATAGACAGGCTAGACTAAATTAAATTAAGAAAAAATAATAATATATTTATGTGCAAGATTTTAATATACACTACTGACTTTCTTTTTTTTTTTTGGAAATAAGCGTAATAATCCAGTTTTATATTATAGTTTATTGATATGTTTTAATTTTTGCAGCATCTTCAACACGACTGTTAGATCATGATATCCATACATTGTTTAAAGAAGGTTCGTTTGACAAGTTTACAGAAGATATGGTTAGGCAGTTTATGAAAGAAGAAGCCTTGCAGGCTCAGCATCAGGTACAATTTTTGTATTACTTATAAATAAGACATTTCTGTGAGAAATTAAATTTTGCTAATTTTGCAAATTTTTAATTTTTATGACAAAACAATTTTTGCTGAAGCCACTGTTTGTTGATATTTCATTTCTCAGGTCCATTGACCCTACTTTTTGGCAAAGAAGAAAAGAAAAAAAAATGAAATTTGAAATGAAGGTAGTATATGACACTCAAGAGTCCGTAATTTTCATGATATGTTAAGAAATCTTACAAACTTTGTTTACAACATTTAAATATCAATTCTGCACACTCACACGCATGCACATATATACATACACTCTAAAAATATGGATTAAAATAATGGAAAATAAGTTGCACTTACAGGAAAAAGTAATTTTATTTCTAGTTTAATTTGATTGAATAGAATTTCTAGACTACAGCCCTTTAACTACAGATAACTTTATTTAATTATTCATGCAATATAATAATAACTGTATTATTTTTCATACTGAAATACATTAATTATAATGAAAAAGAAAAAAGTTTGAACTTAAGCTGCTATTCATTAAGGAAATGTTAAACATTTGACAAACTATTAAACGATTTTTAGCTCGACTATTCGAAGAATATGAGAGCTATTGTAGTCGCCCCGGCGTCGGCGTCAGCATCCGCGTCGGCGTCTGCGTTGGTTAAAGTTTTTTGTAAAGTCAAATATCTCAATCATTACTTGAGATATTCAATTGAAACTTACAATACTTATTTATAGTAACAAGGTACATCATATTGACAAGTTGGATAACTCTGCCTACAATATTGACAGAATTATGCCCCTTTTTAACTTAGAAATTTTGGCTAAAGTTTTTTATAAAGTCAAATATCTCAATAATTACTTGAGATATTCAATTGAAACTTACAATACTTATTTATAGTAACAAGGTACATCAGATTGACAAGTTAGATAACTCTGCCTACAATATTGACAGAATTATGCCCATTTTTAACTTAGAAATTTTGGTTAAAGTTTTTTGACTCTCTCTAAGGCCTATAACATGAATTTATTAAAAAAAAATTAGACCTTCTGTGATGTTAAAAAATTTAACATTATCAAGGCTCTTTTACTATCAAGCACTTAGAATAGTCGAGCGTGCTGTCCTACCGACAGCTTTTGTTATTAATAATTATTTGAAAGGTTAATGTTCATAACTGTCTTTATCAAACAATAAAAAATGATTTTTGGTCATGTACAAGACCTCGGATTCCATTATTTACTTGGATTTTTTATATTATTATTTACATATTCCAACTACATGTATTGCAAACACTACAAATTCTGTAAATGGCCAATAATCTGAATTAACAGAATAAAAAAATTTTGGAACAAAATATGCTGGTATTTAAAGGTGGTTTTTAACTGTTAAGCAATGTGCATCTGCCATTTGCTCAAAAGGAATAAGACCAATATATTTCTTTCATACAGGCATTTGGAAAATTTAAACAAAAGAAATTTGTTAACTGAAGGCAACAGAGATAATAGTTTTATACACTTTAAAGCCCCTGATACTTTTATTGTAACAAGACCAAAACAAATTTTTGCTTTGTTGAAGTTCCATTAAGTTTTTCATTAATATGCTTTCTTCAGCAATCATTATTAAAACTGAGAGAAAATGCCTTAATGGAGAAGACAAAAGCAGAGTTACAATGGTTAGAGCAGCAAAGACAACGAATCCGAAACAAAGGTGCCGATGATTCGTACCCTCAGATCAAGAAACGACAGAGAGGCCTCAAGATGAAGTTACAAGAACAACAAGAAGAGATTCGTAGAATGAGAGAAGAGAATAAAGCAGCAGCAAAAGAACGACAGCGTAAATTATACGAAGAAATCACAAAACGACAGGCGTCTCAGGTACAAACAGATTTAGGAATGATGATCAAAAAAGATATAAATGAATGCCTAAAAGTTAAATTTCAAAATTGTTGGAAGACAAACTTTTTGAAAGAGTCCACAATCTTAAAATAATGTCGCAAAATTACACAAAAGTTGTTTTTTTTTGCTCACCTGAGCATATGCTCAGGGTGAGCTATTAGGATCACTCTTCGTCCGTCATACGTCGTCCGTTGTCTGTTCACACTTTTAAAACGACATCTCCTCTGAAACCATAAGGCAGATCATAATGAAACTTCACAGGGATGTTCCTTGTGTGAAGCCTTAACAAAGTTGTTCAAAGAATTTAATTCCATGCAGAACTCTGGTTGCCATGGCAACCAAAAGAAAAAACTTTAAATATCTTCTTTTAAAAAACCCAAAGAGCTAGAGCTTAGATATTTGGCATGAAACATCTAGTGGGTGTCTACCAAGTTTGTTCAAATAAAAGCCCTGGGGTCAAAATTGGCCCCGCTCCTGGGGGTCATTGATTTTCCCTATATGCATATAGTAAAAAATTAAAAAATCTTCTATTAAAGAACCCAAAGAGCTAGAGCTAAGATATTTAGCACGATACATCTTCTAATGGGTGTCTACCAAGTTTGTTCAAATAAAAGCCCTGGGGTCAAAATTGGCCCCGCCCCAGGGGGTCATTGATTTTCCCTATATGCATATAGTAAAAACTTAAAAAATCTTCGTTTAAAGAACTCAAAGAGCTAGAGCTAAGATATTTAGCATGAAACATGTTCTAATGGGTGTCTACCAAGTTTGAACAAATAAAAGCCCTGGGGTCAAAATTGGCCCGGCCCTGGGGGTCATTGATTTTCCTTATATGTGTATAGCAAAAACTTTAAAAAATCTTCTTTTAAAAAACCAAAATAGCTAGAGTTTAGATATTAAGCATGAATTACCTTCTAGTGAGTGTCTACAAAGTTTGTTCATATAAAAGCCCTGGGGTCAAAATTGGCCCCGCCCCGGGGTCATTGATTTTCCTTATATGTGTATGGCAAAAACTTAAAAATCTCCTTTGAAAAAAACAAAATAGCTAGAGTTTAGATATTAAGCATGAATTATCTTCTAGTGAGTGTCTACAAAGTTTGTTCAAATAAAAGCCCTGGGGTCAAAATTGGCCCCGCCCCAGGGGGTCATTGATTTTCCTTATATGTGTATAGCAAAAACTTAAAAATCTTCTTTGAAAATACCCAAATAGCTAGAGTTTAGATATTAAGCATGAAACATCTTCTAGTAAGTGTCTACAAAGTTTGTTGAAATAAACGCCCTGGGGTCAAAACTGGACCCGCCCCAGGGGATGGCATTGTTTTTTTACTATATGTGTATAGTAAAAACTTTAATCTTCTTTTAAAAAACCCAATGAGCTAGAGCTTAGATGTTTAGCATGAAACATCTTCTTATGGGTTTCTGCCAAGTTTGTTCAAATAAAAGCCCTTGGGTTAAAATTGGCCCTGCTGGGGGGGTGGGGGTGGTGGTGGGGGAGGTCATTGTTTTTCATTATACATGTGTAGTCAAAACTTAACATCTAATGGGTGTCTTCCAAGTTTGTTCAAATAAAAGCCCCGGGGTTAAAACTGGCCCGCTCCAGGGGCCTATATACAGGTGAGCGACCTCAGGGCCATCATGGCCCTCTTGTTAACAATAATTTGATATCTGGCTGTGTAAAGTCATGGCCCTCTTGTTTAACAGTAATTTGATATCTGGCTGTGTAGTAAAAGTATGAAAAGTTGTTGAGAAGTATTTTATAAACTATTATTTATACAGGAATAAACACCTTTATGGTCAGTAATTTGTCTCCTCTCCACTGTAGTTTCAAGTTTAGCAATTAACTTTAAGAGTCTTCATGTAAGAAAGCTATCTAGCTAGCATGCATAAAGTTGTCTTAGGGTGCCTGCTTCTACAAGAAGGTTGTCTTAGGGTGCCTGTCTGTGCATGAAATAAAGCAAATGGGAGAACCTTGGGCACCTCCAACATTAATGCCACAAAGTCTTGATATATAAAACTTTTACAGTGTTAGTATGAATTGAAACTCAACCAAAGACTTACAATGTTACTTGTTCTGTTAGATATTTTTTATGCAAAGGGTGAGCATATAGTCACCGCTTTGTCCGTCCGTCTGGTTGTCTGTCCGTCCTTCCACGTTTCTTGTCCAGGACATAACTTTGTTACAAAAAGGGGTATATAGATCTCATTGGATAGATGTGCAGTGCACAAGAACCGTAACTCTGCCTTGCCTAATTTTGAAGTAATTGCCCTTTGTTCAAATGAACACTTTGAACTTTGTCTGGGACATAGTTCTGAAGGTATAATAGATATGAACAAGACACTTTGTAGGTAGATAGATCTCATTGGGTAGATGTATTGCAAAAGAACCATAACTTTGCCTTGCCTAATTTTGGAGTTATTGCCCTTTGTCCATTTTTACACATTGAACATTGTCCAGGACATAGTTCTGAAGGTATAATAGATATGAACAAGACACTTTGTAGATAGATAGATCTCATTGGGTAGATGTGCAGTGCAAAAGAACCATAACTTTGCCTTGCCTAATTTTGGAGTTATTGCCCTTTGTCTATTTTTACACTTTGAACATTGTCCAGGACATAGTTCTGAAGGTATGATAGATATGAACAAGACACTTTGTAGATAGATAGATCTCATTGGGAAGATGTGCAGCGCAAAAGAACCATAACTTTGCCTTGCCTAATTTTGGAGTTATAGCCCTTTGTCCATTTTTACAATTTGAACTTTGTCTGAGACATAACTCTGAAACTAGAAAAAAAAATAACATAAAACTTTGTAGGTAGATAGATCTCATTGGGTAGAATTGCAGTGCAAAAGAACCATAACTTTGCCATGCCTAATTTTTGAGTTATTGCCCTTTGTTCATATTTACATTTTAAACTTTGTTCAAGTTATTGCCCTTTGTTCATATTTACATTTTAAACTTTGTTCAAGTAATTGCCCTTTGTTCATATTTACATTTTAAACTTTGTCTGGGACATAACTCTGACACTATAAGAGATATGAACAAGAAACTTTGTAAGTTGATAGATATCATTGGGTAAATGAGCAGTGCAAAGAACTGTAACTCTCGCCTAAGTTTGGAATTATTGCACTTTGAATTTTTTCAGGGACATAACTCTGAAAGTACAAAAGGTATTTTTGTCTGTGTCCAAAACCTATTAAAAGGGCATCAACCAGTTCAACCGGTTCTTGTTTAAATCTAAATTTGATTGTACTTTTATTTGTATCTAATATAGAATATTGTTTGTTACAGAGTAAGACAAAGTCTGTAGCCACACCAAGAGGTAGGCTTGGACGACCAAAAGAAGTTCACACTGAGGCAGAAGTTAGCTCGGTGAGTATAAGTTCGTAAATGATAATGTAAATATCTGCGTTTTGTATCATTGTGGTTGAATAATGAGTTACCTCTAGTATGCACAGATTCCTATTTTGAAAAGAGGAGGATTAAAGCTTAACATGATTTTAATATTAAGAGACAATTCTCCTCAGGGGCATTCATGGCCAAGTGGTTGAGGTTTTTTATTTCGTACCACTAACTGTCACAGCTATGGGTTCCAATTTCCCTAGGGACTTAAATTTCTTTCATGTGAGAAAGCTTTCCAGCTACCTTACCTAACATTGGTGGTTCTACTTAGGTGAAGGGCACACATAGAAAATCTGGAAAGTTGCTATGTGGCCTTTACACTCGGGCATTGGTATCATCCTTCAGTTAAGTTCTTGCCAGTTTGTATCTCCAAAACGATTGAAGGGAATGGGTTGATACTCCAATTTGGATTTTGACAGAAGTTATTATGGCCGTTTTTGAACTTAGAACATTCCACATTATCCAGGTAGAAAATTCTACATTATACAGACTCTTGTTTTACTATGAAAGATCTGAGTATAGTTCAGCATGAGCCTATTAACAGTTCTCATGAATTATAGTCCCCTACCGGTTTAACCGGAGGGGACTTTAGTTTACCCTCCGTCCGTTCTGTCGTCTGTCTGTCTGTCTGTCCGTCTGTCTGTCTGTCAGTCTGTCAGTCCGTCAGTTCCGTCCGTCCCACAAAACTGGATCCCCATGCGATAACGCAAAAAGACTGAAAATATTTTTATGAAACTTGATATATGATAGATGCAGTATGGAGATTATGCACGTCTTTTTTTTTCTTCCTATGTTGAAAAATTCTGGTTGCTATGGCAACAAATAGTCTGAAAATATGGCAAATTTAACACATAAAATGGATCCAGTGATAACTCAAAAAGTACTGAAAATATTTTTTATGAAACTTGAAATATGGTAGATGGCACTCTGGAAGTTATGCACATCTTTTTCTTTTCTTCTTATGTTGAAAATTCTGGTTGCTATGGCAACAAATAGCCTGAATTTCAAGATTTCTGGATTTAAATTTTTCAGATTTTTTCACTATATGTTCTTTATTTCTTAAGGTGTTTACTTCAAACTTTAAATATAAGTTTCTGGTCATCAACCACATCATATGTGACAAGGTTTATAACTCTAGCACAAAAATATCAGTATTACCTCCTTGAACTTAGATTTTTTAGGGGAAAAAATGTTGTCTTTTTTAAATAACTTCTTTATTTCCTAATGTATCTACTTCAAACTTCATATATATGTTTCTTATTATCACTCGACATTTTTGAGAAGGTTAAATTACTCTAGCAAGACTATTTCCAGAATTATGTCCCCCTTGAACTTAGATTTTTTTCGAGAAACTGGTATTTTCACTCCAACTTCTTCATTCCTTATAGGATTTACTTTAAAATCACACATCGTAATAATATGACAAGGTTGTATAAACATAATTTCCTTACTAAGCATGGAAACTTAACACATTACTGTGATATAGACAAACTTATTTTATTATGTTTTGTGGTCGAAATTTTTCAAATACAGACTTCATCCTCAAATTCATTATAAATGGCAATACACAGGAGTGTATGACAATTAAAGAACTTTTTGAGGGACCGGTAGGGGACTACTGTATTGCCCGCAATACTATCAAATGCTTGTTGAAAAAATATTTTCTTTGCTTTATATAGAGAATGTTTAATATAGAATTCTTCTTTCCTTATTAGTGTTGATTTATTGACCTGTATTTTTTTATGTTTTCTCACAGATCAGCAGTTCTCTGTGTCTTGAGCATATTGGGGGACACTTATTGTTATAACCACTATTCTTGTTCCTGTTGCTTTGGTCTAAGTAATGACCATGCTCTATTTTAGATTGACGAGGCGTCAGATGCAGAGAAACAGCGAAAGGATTATAAATCTGACTCTGAGATTTACACAGAGCCAAAGATAAGTGGAAGAAGATCCAAACAAAATCCTGAAAAATACAAGAAGATTCATCTGGATGAAAAGTAAGTAAATTCTAACTTATTTTATTTAAGTATAAAAGAAAGAGGATGTTACCTGAGGTTTTATATTATAAAGACTAACTCAAGCCCTTAACCTGCCCGGGGGGGGGGGGGGGGGGGGGGGGGGGGGGGGGGGGGGGGGGGGGGGGGGGGGGGGGGGGGGGGGGGGGGGGGGGGCCGGGGGGGGGGGAGGCATCGGGGGGGGGG